TTCACTTGATTAACTTTTTCCTTTCCTGTAACGAAGGCTTTTAATTTTATGAAGTCCCATTTGTTGACTGTTGACCACATTTCCCAAGTGACTGGAGTCCTAGAATAAAGACCTTACCTGTGCTTGTGTCTTGTACTGTTTTCCTTGCTTCTTCCTTCTGCTGTTTCAGATATTAGGCCTTGTACTAGCTAAGGTTTTGGGGCCATTTGGAGTTGAGTCTTGTGTAGGGTGAAAAAAAACCAATCTAGAATCATGCTTTATGTGTAGCTCTCCATCTAGCTTACTTAGCACCATTCACAGAAAAGCTGTCTTTCTTCCAATGTGTATTTTGACAATGTTGTCAAAGTCAAGGTGGTTATGGCTGTGTAGGCTTCCATGTAGGGACTCTGCTCTATTCCATTGACCCATGTTTCTGTATAATGCTGTTATCATGCTATGTTTGTTACTATGGCTCTGTAGCACAATTTGAAATTAGTTATGGTAATACCTAAAGCATTAATCTTTCTGACTGGGACTCCTTTGAATAAATGAGCTCTTTTGAGCTTTCATTTGCCTCTTAACATTGATAGGTACCTGTTGTAATGACTCCTTTTTCAGCTCTATGTTATCAAATGGCCCTTCTCTTTCTTTTGACTTGGCTAAGGTTTCTCTATCCTGTCCATCTTTTTAAAGAACCAACTCTTGGGTCAGTGAGATGACTCCGTAAGTAGAAGCACTTGCATTAATGTCTGGTGGCTTAAGTTATATACAGATATTATATACACACATACTTTGTTCTTATTTGTCCCTCTCCATTGTTTTCCTCTTCCCCCTCTCCATGTCTTGCTGGTCCCCTTGCATCTCCCCAACAGTCCTTTCTTTTGCTTTCATGAAATAAATTCCATCACCCTGCCTTTTCCACGCCTTAAACATCTTCTTCCCCTTTCCCAGTGCTCTTTCTAATTTAATGCCTTGTGCATGCTATGAATTCATGCACACAGACATGAACACAGACACACACATAGATGCACATACACACATAGAAATATATACACACATACTAACACACACATACAGACACATACAGAAACACATGTTTATATCTAGATTTTGCATCAGGGAAAATGTCTGGCTTATTTTACTTAATGTAATGATCTCCAAAAATCCATTATGTATATGTATCACATTTTTCTTATCTGTTGATGGATGTATAGTCTAGTTTCATATCTTGGCAATTGTAAACAGTGCATTATGTACGGGTGTCCAAGAGTCTTTGTGAAATGTTGACTGAGAATCTTAGATTATATGTACTGGAGTAGTGCAGCAGGCTCACATGGCAGTTCTACCTTAGTTTTTGAGGATCCTCCATGCTGATTTATGTCATGACTGCATTAGTGTACCTCCTTACTAGCAGTGGGTGCATTAGTTCACATCCTTACTAGCAGTGGGTGCATTAGTTTACATCCTTACTAGCAGTGGATGCATTAGTTCACATCCTTACTAGCAGTGGATGCATTAGTTCACATCCTTACTAGAAGTGGGTGCATTAGTTTACATCCTTACTAGCCGTGGATGCATTAGTTTACATCCTTACTAGCAGTGGATGCATTAGTTCATATCCTTACTAGCAGTGGGTGCATTAGTTTACATCCTTACTAGCAGTGGGTGCATTAGTTCACATCCTTACTAGCAGTGGATGCATTAGTTTACATCCTTACTAGCAGTGGGTGCATTAGTTTACATCCTTACTAGCAGTGGATATTTTAGTTTACATCCTTACTAGCAGTGGATATTTTAGTTTACATCCTTACTAGCAGTGGGTGCATTAGTTTACATCCTTACTAGCAGTGGGTGCATTAGTTCACATCCTTACTAGCAGTGGATGCATTAGTTTACATCCTTACTAGCAGTGGATGCATTAGTTTACATCCTTACTAGAAGTGGATGCATTAGTTCACATCTTTACTAGAAGTGGGTGCATTAGTTTACATCCTTACTAGCAGTGGATATTTTAGTTTACATCCTTACTAGCAGTGGGTGCATTAGTTTACATCCTTACTAGCAGTGGGTGCATTAGTTCACATCCTTACTAGCAGTGGGTGCATTAGTTTACATCCTTACTAGCAGTGGATACATTAGTTCACATCCTTACTACCAGTGGATCTTCTCTTTTTCGTCATCATTGGTTGTTTTCTTGATGACAATCACCTGACTGAGATAAAAGGGAATCTCTAAGCATTTGCCTGATACCTAAGCACATTGAACACTTTCCCAAATGTTTATTGACCATTTGTATTTTTCCATTATGTCTATTTAATTCATTAACTATTTTTTTTAATTTAGATGATGTTTTAGTTAGGGTTGGTATTGCTGTAATGAGATACTATGACCAAAAGAAATTTGGGGAGGAAATGATTTATATGGCTTAAATATCTTGAATCACAGTTCACTGGGGGAAGTCAGGGCATAGATTCAAAGTGGGTGGGAACCTAGAGGCAGAATCTGATGTGGAGACCATGGAGGATGCTGTCCCTCATGGCTTGTTCAACCTGCTTTCTTATAGAACCCAGGACTACTGGCCCAGAGTGCTACCACCCACAATAGGATGGGCCCTCCCTTTTCAACCACTAATTAAGAAATTGCCCTACAGGCTTGCCTACAGCCCTATCTTACAGAGGCATTTTCTCAATGGAGGCTCCCTCCTCTGAGATGACTATAGCTTCTGTTAAGGTGTTCTGAGGGTGTCTCCTCCAAAATATGTTGGGAGCATGAGTGATTACAATGCTGAGATATGAACAGATGAACCTGTGGTTTTTTTTTTTGGTTGTTTGTTTTTACGAGACAGGGTTTCTCTGTAGTGTTTTGGAGGCTGTCGGTCGAGCCCGGCCTCAAACTCACAGAGATCCGCCTGCCTCTGCCTCCCGAGTGTTGGGATTAAAGGCGTGTGCCACCAATGCCCGGCCAGATGAACCTGTTCTTATGCTTTCAAAACCTAGTTAACACTCAGACCCCGCGGAGCATAAGAGGTCTCAGACTATAGCTGCAAATCCAAGGGCGGAGAGGTGGTGCTACTTACTGATCCTGGGATCAGGGCTATTCAACTCGAAGTTATTCTCAGCCGAAGAGGCCTGTTCCCAGGCACTAAGGGTAGACCTACTTTCTCTGTATACTCCACTGCCTGGGCAGAGCCTCTTCCTGCCTGCACTTTTCTGGTTAACATATGGCCTCCCGCCCTTCCTCTCACACTCGCCTCCTAGAACTAACCTCTCTCTGGGACTGTGGCAGGTTGAAGTCACACTTTTGCCGATCAGTCCCTGTTCTTGGCTCCCAGAGCTGCTTAGTTTTCAACAATAGTTTCCTCTCAAGATGGTGCCCCACCACAGTCCTTCGAGCTATTTCCTTTTCTCTGCTTTCTACCACAGAAGTTGCTTCCTCAACAGTGTCTAGAACTGCATTTGTGGCTTTCCAAAGCTAGGCGCTTACCCTGTGGGTAGGACCTTCAGTCTCCACCGGGGCTTGTGTTTTAGATGCAGCCGTTGTCTCCTCTTTCCCTCCAGTGAGTCTTGTGGCTGGAGCTGCTCCCAGCTATCCTGGCCTCTTTGGGATGCTATACCCGACAGCAGCATCTCTGCACACCTCAGCCCACTCCGCTTGCCAATTTCCAATATATATTTCCTCTTTCTTTGGAATAGGGTAGATTCTTCTTTTCTTACCCTGACATTCTCTTTCACTGGGTCACATGGAGACAACCTCTGGTCCACCGTCTTCACTGGATGATGCCCTCTACAGTGTGTTCTACTGGTCACTAAGGGTGTTTAAATTTACACGTCACCTGCTGAGTTGCTTATTTCCGCCATTTTTTTTTACTTGTTGTAGTTTGAAATTCTTTTAAAGGTTTCTTTCTTCTAGTTTATAAATTCCATCTGTTTTTTCACTTTTAATTTCTGTTTATTTATTGAAGAAACTGCATTATTTGTCCCAGGGTCAAATTATATTGACTGTACCCATATTGGGTCATTTAATATTTCCCAAGTCCTCAGTGTTTCTTATAAACAGTATTTTGAGAGATTGTAATTTTCTAAGTGCAGATCAAATTTTGGAACTGTCTTCTAGGCAATAGTAAAGGTTTGAGGCTCTTTTTATTTTGATTTTTTTGATTGTTAGACCTCATTGCACATTATATTCTAATTTTGTAATACCCTCTTCATTGATTAGATAGAACACACCTAAAGGGGAAGTTTCTTTGTTTGACTATATGGTTACTCTGAAAATCATTTATATAGGAACTGCAGGATGCCTATCTGGTTCCCCCTTTACCTACTAGTTTTGAAAGTAATAAATTGCATGTTAAGGATGTTGCCCGGTTGTTAATTTTTAATTTCATGAGATCCTTAAGTTCACCCTTTCCAATTGTGCAGAATATATAATGGTTCCAATGTTAAATCTATAAATAAAAATACATTTGAAGAGTCTAACATAGCTCAATCCCTTTTGTCCTTTTTATCCTTTATATATATTAGGTAACCCTTTTCTGATGGCTTTTATTTATTCTTCCATTAAAAATATATTCCTCCACTTCTTAGAAAACTGGTAGCAAATAATAGACTTTCCTACCTCAAGTCTTATCATAAAAACACACATTTCAGGGTCTGATGAAGTAGCCTATTTATATGAACCAATGGGAAGGGATGGGAAATTCCCCTTGATCCCATTCGGTCTGATGAACTACTTCACAGAATCAAGCAGTTTCTTAGCTTAGCTACCATATAAATTCCTTTCTATGTATTTCATTTAGCCAGTGTTGGATCTGTGTACAGTGTCTGTGAATATAAACAAGCAGCATGTCTGTTGAACTTAACAAATACAATTTTCTACTCCATTTGTCTTAGGGACATAGATGAGACATGATTCTAGTTTTAAGCAAGTGGGTATGGAGCTAGATGCCTCCCCTGGTAATTCTTGAGGGGGGCTGTTGTCATGCTAATTTCACAGTTGAACTTGTGTTTTCTTTTCTTCTGCAGTTACAGGATTTGATCTGTGGGGCGCAGTGGTGGCAACTGGGGTGGTCTGCACATTCTACTGCACACTGGTATGTGAAGAGTGTCATTTCCCTTTTAATCTACTTTCTTTGCAAAACTGGAATTTCAAGTAGTCATGTGCTGTAGACTGTTCATACTTACTCTTTTTCTCTGGGCTCCTCACAGTACAGCATTTTTGTAAGGAACATTTGGTCCTTAGATATGGATTACAAATGAAAATTTTCTTTCATCTTAACCATGGCACAGGTCCCTATTTTTATCTCTTTATTCCTTATTATGGTTTCCAAAATATTATAGATGTACTTATATAATACCTCAGCCTAGAGACTTGTGATAATGGTCTACTAACTATAGACACAGGTGACAAAATATATGTAAAAACCACCCAGACTTGATGTTGCTTTACTGTGGAGACAGGTTCTTTGCAGCAATGCAAATTTATGTGATCTTTAATAGTCTCTATATTAACCTTTATTTTGCTTGATCTTCTAGGAAACAAGATCCTTACATAAAGCCTGTTTAAACCCAGGCCACAGAGGCTAAAGAGAAATATTTGTGGCACTGGCTAGTATGCAACAATTTAATAAATGATATGGGTATCTAGGTACAGACTGAGTGTTAGCCCACACAATGACTTTTATAATTTAACTCTGAATTGTCTATCCAACACTCCCCTCACCCCACTTAACTCCTGGTCACATTCAGTAGACCATGTACAGTTTTCTCCTCTTCCGATTTTTCCCAGGCCGTTTTCTGGCCTGGGAGGAACTTCCATCTTTGCCTCTGCCTCTGCTTGAGGGATAGGTTGAATATCTTCTTCTCTATAAATATTCTTTGAACACGACCATCTCCTTTGAGTAACCTTCTTGACCAAATTCTGTGTTTCATCATTTTTGTCTAGTATGGTACATCTACATCCACATTTAGACAGATACATAATCACATCGCATAGAAGTATTAATCCTAACACACTTTCTTCTCAAAGGGTGGTCTTAAAGCAGTTGTCTGGACAGACGTTTTTCAAGTTGGGATCATGGTGGCTGGATTTGCATCTGTCATTATACAGGCCTCAATAACTCAAGGTGGCTTCAATAAAATTTTAAGTGATGCCTCCAATGGTGGGAGATTAAACTTCTGGAAGTAAGTTGCTGTTTACCTTCTGGTTAATAGAATGCATCTTTTGTTTTCTTTGTAAGAAATAGTTTTATTGGAACAATAAGTTTGTATTGGAAAATAAATAAATTACTAAGGGTGTGGCCTGTAAAATTAAATCTGGCAAGTAAATGTTGGGGGAGTTTTTGCTAGTTTTTTGAGGGGTTAAAGCAAGCTGATGCTTTGGGGTCATATGTTTCATTTTCCAAAGAAAGATATTAGAGCAAAAAAACATATTTTCTTCCAGAGGTTAGAGTCTGAAACAGTTTGAAAGTAGGGTAGGAAAAATGGTGAAAGGTAAGAAAAGGAAGACCCCTAAGAGACACATACTGAAAGACAGTAACTTCATTAGGATACTGCTTTATTTTAACCAACACTGAGAAATTCTCTTGATATCACTCTGTCAGTATGTAGCACATTAAAATAGCATATTGTTGAATAGTATTTCATGTATGAATCTCTATATTATTTCCTAAAAACTGACCAAAGCCAGATGGTGGTGATACATACATGCCTTTAATGCCAGCACTTGGGAGGCAGAGGCAGGCAGATCTCTGTGAGTTCAAGGCAGTCTGTTCTACAGAGTGAATTCTAGGACAGCCAGGACTACATACAGGAATCCTGTCTTGAAAAATCAAAATATATAAATAAATAACATTTAAAAATTAAAAAGTAAGCAAAAGTGACCAGAAAAGTTATGGCTGGTGTTTCACGTGATAGTCTGACAGGATAAACATATCTGAACAATGGAAAATCCATGAAGTGGTTTTAAACTTTTAGCATTTGCACACAGAATTCTAAGATAGCATAGTCGTAATGACATGATAATTTTACCAATATATACTTTTGGGGTTCATTGACCTCTTAAGCTGAATTATGATTATACATGTGCTAGAAGAGGAATGATGACCACACAATGTGCTAGATTGTATTTACTCAGTTATGATATCTATTTACATGGTACACTTTGAATCCCCTCCTCCCAGTATAACATAGCCAACTTGTTTTTATAGTAGTTTCCTAACACTATGGGAGAACAATTTATCTAAATGCTCAAAGTGATAAGGATGTGTATTTTCTCCTAATTCCATCTAGAATTCCCCAATATCTGGAAATATCATTGTTTATTTAATTGAATCTAAATTAGAAATATTTGTATTTTGACATCATAAATTTGGACATTTTTATGTAAGTCTGTGAGTGTATATGCTTGTATCTAAAAGTATTCTGGGAGGGTTGTCTTTGGTTTCTTGTAAACAATTTGTATTTGCTTTCCTTTCCTTTTCATTCAGCTTTAATCCTAACCCTTTGCAAAGACACACATTCTGGACAATTATCATTGGAGGGACTTTCACTTGGACCACCATCTATGGTATCAACCAGTCCCAAGTACAGAGATACATTTCCTGTAAAAACAGACTCCATGCAAAACTGTAAGCCTGACTATGGTGTATGAATCTTTAATAATTACCGTTGCAATTAAGGGAATGCTTTTATAGTCAACTTTAGTTCAATTTCAAGTATTTTGTGTCATAAAACACCCAAAATAAATGATGAACTAAAGGACCAAGCTTGGCTGGTGTGTGGTTCTGTAGCTGAGCACAAAGTGGTACTAGATGTTCTCAATTAAGCATCTGAAAGTATTTCTATGAATTATTAAGGAAGATACTCTCACCAAGTAAATAAATGTTTCAAGAACCTATGGTAGTTAAAAAAATACAAAGGAGAGCTCAATGGAAGAATGATTACCTAGCTTGCTAGATTCCCTCAAAACAACTTTGTATGTGAGGAAATTTAAGATGAAATTAGAAAAGTACATGTAATCTGGAAACTGTGAAATGACAATGGACAGGAATGTAAGTTCCTTAAAACAATGTAAGAGTGAGTATTCAAGAGTGGGTGTAGTTGTACCCGTTGCATTAGTAGCCTTAATCATGGGCTATAATGCCCTCTAACTTACTACTCGGATGGTATTGTACAAATTACTTAGTTTCACTGAGTTTCAGATCTACAGTTATGAGTACAAGAAACACCATTACCACGTGTGAAGTTGGGAACACACATGTTGGGTACACACATGTAAATGTTCATTCTTTTATGACTAATGGGGTGTGAAGAGAGAACTAATGGGTGAGAGGGAACACGGTTTGAGGAGAAACCTGTCCAGGGAATACACGGTGTGTTTCTTGTCCTTAGTGGGTATTTTTAGAAACTGGGTTGGAAGAACTTTATGGGGCTGGTATACAGATGCTGCACATGTTTAGCAGCCTATCATTAAACTACCTTTTGAAGGAAAATGAGCCAGTTACTGCTCTAGCGCCTATTGAAATCCCTACTTTATGGTAAGAGGACTCGGAGTATTATAATCAGATAGTGTTATAAAGCCATGGATGCCTGTGGATTTCAAGCAGGAGGACGCATTCACTGAGAGATGGCAAGTACCTGAAGGTTTCTAGATACGTTGCTGACTGACATCAAAGAAGACAGACTAGAAATCACTTTTGAGAATCAAGATATTATATGCATTTATTAAGTATAATCACGACGTTGTCTCTTGTTCTTGTAGCGGCTTTCTTTGTCTTTTGGATAGAAAGTAGAGCTGTTATTTGTTGGCACCCTCTCCTTTAGGTCTCTCTACATCAACCTTGTGGGCCTTTGGGTGATCCTTATCTGCTCCGTGTTCTGTGGGCTCTCCCTGTACTCCAGATACTATGACTGTGATCCCTGGACATCTAAGAAAGTGTCAGAAGTTGACCAGGTTTGGAACCACGTCTCTCTCACATGTGCACTGATGACATTACAAAACATGCATGGTGCCAGGGAGAACAGTTCTTGTTCCTGTAGAGACCCAGCAAGTGGGCACAACACAACTAGACACCTTTCACTTCTATAAAGCATTCGACAACACATTTGTAGTACTTAGAACACCTGTGATGATTTCTGTGTCTAAGACTAAATTGTTCACATGCTTGGAGAAATTTCAAGCCAGATTTTGGGTAGAAAAAAACCTCAGGGTTTGAATTTTAAAAAAAGTAAGCTTGGTTAACAGAAACCATACACAAAACACTGTACCACAAAAGTTTGTGGATATTGTTAGAGCACTCACTTACAAACAGTCTTTCAGTTTTAATAAAATTGTACATTTACCTGTTTTTATTTTATGTGTGTGAGTATTTTGCCTGTATGTGTGTCTGTGTATCACATGCTTTCCTGGTACCCCCCGAGACGTCAGAAAAGAGAGACAGATAGCCCTGACCTGGAGTTACTGGTGATTGTGAGCTGCCATGTGGGCCCTGGGAACAGAATCTGGGTTCTCTTCAAGAACAGTGCTCCAAACAACTGATTCATCTCATCAGCTCTCAACTTCCAGTTTTAAATGTAGAAACAGACTAGGAAGGGAACAGAGTTTGCATCCTATGCATCAAAATTCCATGTCTAGAGTCTTAACATGCTTACTTTCAGTTCCACAGCACTGTAACCCCAATTTTATAGAGACCATAATGAATCCCAGTGAGCTGCTTATGTTTTGTTTTTGAGATGGAACCTCACTATGTAGTTCTTGCAGTACTGGAACTCACTATGGCTGGTCTCAAAATCACAGAGGTCTACCTGCCTCTGTCCCAAAAGCACTGGGATTAAAGCAGTGTGCCATCGGCCAGACTCAGTGAGGGTTTTGACTGGCACAAGACCATATTGCTAATATGTAGAATTAGGGTGAGAGCTCACTGGTCTTTACAATAGGTCAGACACTTTGGAATATGCTTTATTTAAAGTCTAATTTTTACTTTTCACGGTTAGACTCTGAAGCAGAGTGTATTACTACTTTCCTTTAAGAAACCAAGGTACAGTGAAGAGTTGGATAAGCAGCTGGCCTGTAGGACCATGCTTCACACCCAGACCCTGCCATTAGAGCTCCTGGAAACTCTATAACATGTACTTTCTTGTAAACTTGTTGCACAGCTCAAATTAACATGTCCTGACTCCAAGAGCCCGGGCTCCTGCAAAACCTACATCCTAAAACCTGCCTGATGACCAAGTACCTGAGGCCTCAGAAAGAGGATGGGCAAATTTCACACTGGTGCAAATATAATTCCCTCCCAATATGACTGTGGGGTTAGGAAATTATAGGATCATTTTAGATTATTTCTAAAATTTATTCTTTGAGAAGTCAAACGAAGTATTTTGATTTAATCTTACATATTGGAATTTACAAAGAATATTTTTCATTCTTTTGGAAGAATATAAAATTGACTATGTATTAATTTTGTTTAATAGCAACTAATACATGGGTTAAATTTTGGAATTTTTCAGCTTATGCCTTACTTGGTACTGGACATTTTGCGAAATTACCCTGGAGTTCCTGGACTTTTTGTGGCCTGTGCTTACAGTGGGACATTAAGGTATAAAACTGTGATTTTTATGAAGGTGTCATTCCTGTAAGAACTTATGTTTGCTTTGCTGTTATTGTGACTGATGCATGAGAAAATGACCTGCAGGAAGGAATTACTTGTTTTAGATCATGGTTTCGGTAGGCTCCACCCATACTCACCTGGCTCTAGGCATTTTGACTAAACATTCTGATGGTGGGAGCAGGTGTTGGAAGACCTTTTACATGGAAGAGGCCAGAGCAAGATAGAGAGTCCACAGTGGTATAATAACAGTTTCATTCAAGCAGGCTCTACCCTTTACCTATCTACCCTCCTCAATAAAGCTATCATGGCACATACCATCAGGGTATTAATCTGTTCATTTTGGCCTGGAAACGTCATCACGATAAATTCAGAGATGTGTTTCACTAATCCCCCAGGTATTTCCCTATCTAATCAAGTTGACCATCAAGAGTAACCATCAGAGTATCTTTCTTTTCTTATTGGTTACTTTGAGAGGTAAAGATGAATTCTGGACACGGTCACAAATGACCTAAAAAAGGCAAAGTGTTCCATGCATCCTTCTGTTGGTCGGCTACTTATGGAACCATTCTACTGCCATCAGGCTCTACACTTGACTAGGTCCCTGCTCTCAAACACAGCATTGCATGCCCAATATGGTCATTGGTGATGATGACCACTTTATGGTGGCTTTAATACTTGCTGAGTATTAAACATGAATGGCTTCTGTCTTGGAAGCCTGCAAAACCAGACTCAAATCTCCTAATTACATGCTGAATACATCTTCCGAACATTTTCATGCACAATGAAACTGTATATTGAAGTTGTTATGCTATGTGATAATCTGAGTAATATGTGTAAATTCATTTTATAGATACAGAAGACTAACTGGGAAATAGAAGCAATGCTACCTCATCCTCTGTCATTTGCTGTCAAATCTATCTATGTTTCCTGACACATTCATGAAAGATAATAACTTCCAGAAAGAGAGTACACTAATCATTAAAAATAAAAGAACATGATTCCATTTAAATTATTTTATTATTTTGTGTATATGGGCATTGTGCCTACATGTATGTATGTATGTGCACCACATGTGTGCAGTGTTCTCAGAGTTCATAAGAGGGTACCAGATCCCCTGAGACTTGAGTCACATATGTCTGAGACTCAGCTACTGCAGGTGCTGGAGATCAAACCCCGGTCCTCTGGAAGAGCAGCTGGCACTCTTAAACAGTGAGCCATCTCTCTAGCCCCATCTGCTTCTATTTTAGAAGTGTCAACTTGCTTTCTCCTTCCTTGTTCCCACTAAAAGTATCATTAAAATTAACATATTATAAAACAAAGTTTTTCCCTCTCTTGTAGCACAGTGTCCTCCAGCATTAATGCCTTAGCTGCGGTGACCGTGGAAGACCTTATCAAACCTTACTTCAAGTCACTGTCAGAGAAATCTCTGTCTTGGATTTCCCAAGGAATGAGTATGTTCCCTTGTTTCCTTCCTTATGATTCCATCTGGGGGAACCTTTGTCTTTGTTTATGAGACTAGAAATTGTCCCCTGAAGAAGCACAAGCATCTCTAGTATGAGTACATAAATAGGAACACGTGCTTACAATGCTCAGGGATGATAGTATCTACCAAGAAGACTTGGCACTAATTCAAACATTTAAGATGGCAGTGGTAGTCCACAGTGGTAACCCTGGCCCTCAGGAGGCTGAGCCAGAGGGATCGAGAGTTCATAGGTAGCTAGCGTTAGTCTAAAAATGAAAACAAAAACAAAAACCCTATCTAATTGTCAGTGAGCCACAAAGCACAGTGCCCAAGGATCCTCTGTGGTTGTCCTTGGTGATAATTACTAATAATAATAGTGATAAGACTCTCATCAACTTTGAAGCAGGGTTCTTCTTTGCAGCTCAGCCTGGCTTTGAACTCATAATCCTCCTGCGTAAGTGTTGAGATTACAGGTGTTTGACACTACACCTGGTTCAACTTTCATTCATTTTGAAGGATTTTATGCTATTAATACACTGAGGCATATGTAGTCAAGGGCATCACAGACAACGTGACAGTTGACTTGACTTTGCATTAATTATGGACACCAAAAACCCCTAATGCCAAGCATTCACTGCTTATCAAATGGAGAATTAATTTAAATCACTGAAATAATATTTATATTTAGATTGGGCTCTATAGACATTATTACAACAAGAGCCCTTTGTGGGGCGGAAAGGTTTTTTTTTTTCCTTTCAGTTGGGATAAGATAATTTTATAACAGTCTTAATAAAAGTATGAGTGCTGGGACAAAGTCACTGGTCCCCACAACGGAGGGAATGCACTAATTTTATGATAAGAAATAGCCCATCTGTCATTTTTCTTGTTTTGTTATTTAAATTTTGAGCATGGGAAATTATATTCCAAATGGATGTTTAAAAAAAAAACAAAATATTTTAGGGGGTAATGTTTTTTAATTTTAAAAGCAACACATTTTCTGAAGGGAAGGGAGGAGGAGGAGATTTAGGGGAGAGGGAAGGAGGGGTGTTGGGGGGTAGAGGGTGGGGAAACTGGTTGGGAGGTAATGTTTGAGAGAATGATGATGGTGATGATGATGATGACATTGAAATTATCAAATAAAACGAAGGTAAAAGGGAAAAAAAGGAAACCCCTGCTATTGGCCAGCCAGCGGTGTGTTGAGAACGCCTGTAAAGCAGTTTGGAGAAAGGGATCTGAAATACGATATGGATTAATGTGACCTTTCTTTGCTAGCTTTCCTGGGAAGGCCTGGGCATTTCTGATGGGGATTATGAGAGGGCTGAAGAACCTAAACCATGGGTTGGTGTGGGTTACCACTTCCCAGAACAGGGGAACAGTTTCAGAAGGCTCCAGCCCTGGTGTCTGTTACCCACTTCCTCCTCCACATTGTCTTGAGCGGAGTCCTGCACCTCCCTTTATAGACAAATGTTTGTGGGGATTAAATGAATACACAATGGTGCTAAGTTTTAAAACCCCTGTAGTTAATTCCAGGGACTCCTTTCTTATATAATCTATTGTTGTGACTAATCCCCGGGCACAGTATAAGGCTTTGTTTGTCTTCTTTGCACCCTGTTGGTCTTGTAGAAAAATGCCTCTTTGTCTTGTCTTGCTGACTTTAATGTGTGTGCCTTTCTCACCGCATTGGTATTATTCACTTTGACTCAAAGGTATGGCGTTCCTTTTATTGAGGACTGCAAGCCTCTGGGGCTGCATTTGTACACTGTCTTTTATGTTGTCATGTAGGTGTGCTGTATGGAGCGCTGTGTATTGGAATGGCTGCTGTGGCATCCCTGATGGGAGCCTTGTTACAGGTAAGAGCTGAGTCTGAAGACTGGTGTCAGAATCCTTAAATTATTAGCCTAAGTGTTCACAAGACCACCTTCACACACTCTCTCTCTATATCTACACTTGCATGTGTCAAATCTTAAAAACATTCTTCTTTACTTACGTATGTATGTGTATGCCTGCTTATCTGTATGTGTACCATGTGTGGACAGGTACCCACAGAGGTCAAAGGGCACCAGAAGCCCTGCAGTTGGTGTTAGGCAGAGTTTTGTTAGCTGTCTGATGTTGGCTACTGAACCTGGGTCCTTGTGAGTTAGTAAGCACTCTCAATTGCTGAGCCAGCCCTCTAAACCCTTATTTTTTTGTTTTTGTTTTTGTTTTTGCTTTTGTTTTTTTTATCATTTTTTATTTTAATTTTAAATAGCTTGTTTTACATGTCAATCCCAGTTCCCTCTCCCTCCCCTCTTCCCGCACTCCCCTTCCTCCCCCACCCTCCCACCCTATTGCCAAATCCTTCCACATAGGGGATATCTAGAGTCTGTCATTTTACTCTTGGTAGGGTCAAGGCACTCCCCTAAGAGTCCAGGCTGAGAGAGCATCTCTCTTTGTGCTATAGGCACATGAAGACAGTTTGTATACCAGGGATAGACACTGATCCACAGCTCAGGGCCCCATAGGTTGCCCAGGCCTTCTCGCTGACACTCACATTTGGGGGGTCCAGATCAGTCCCATGCTGGCCTCCCCACTGTCGGTCTGGGGTCCAAGAGCACTCCCCTGTTCAGATCAGCTGTCTCTGCTGGTTTTGCCAGCCCATTCTTTGCCAATTTGCTCATCACTCCTCTCTGTCACTGGGTTCCTTGGGTTCAGTTCAGTGATTAGTTGTGTGTTTGCCTCTGCTTCCATCAGTCACAGGATGAAGGCTCCCGGATGGTTATAGACATCAAGTTCATTATCAGGAATGGGCATTCGAGGTGGTCCCTCCACTATTGCTTAGCTTGCCAATTGATGTTATACCTTTAGATCACTCGAGGTCACTCTGGTGCCTGATCTGTCTTCGATCCTATGATTCCCTCTTCCCCCTATTCTACCCCCACCCCCTCAACTTCCTGTTCCCCCATGACCAATTCCCTCCCTCTTTACCCCCTCTATTCTTCCCAGGTCCCACTCCCCCCCACCCCTCGCCGTGTTCCCCATCCATTCAGAGGATCTTGTCTCCATCCTCTTCTCTTGGGTACTATGCATATATGCGTATCTTTTAGGTTCTTTCCTGTTTCCCAGACTCTCTATCTGTGGAAGTGCAGACTGGCACTATCCTGATCCATATCTAAAATCCATATATGAGTGAGTACATACCATGTTTGTCTTTTTGCGACTGGGTTACCTCACTCAGGATGGTTTCTTCCAGTGCTATCCATTTCCCTGCGAATTTCAAGATTCCATTGTTTTTAATATTTGAAAAATATGTCTTCAGATAATTATAGATTTATATGAAATTAAAACAATGCAGAGGTCTATATTTCTCCATAGAAACACCTCACAATAGCATCTAGCAATGGTAACATCTTGATAAGAAGCCATTATGGCCGGGATATTGGGGTTGAAACAGTGAAGATACGTAATGATTTGACCGCCACCAGGATTCATCCCTCTTGCTACCTTTTGCTGCCTCATCTACATCTCTCTGCCCTCACTCACGTCACCCATCTCCAGCCTCTGAGAATCTCATCACACACACACACACACACACACACACACACACACACAGTAGAAAGATGGAATAGCCACTCTATAAAGTACTGTTATATAAAAGTGTTGGGGCAGTGGCTCAGCAGACAGTATGCTTGCAGTGAAAGCATGAGGACTTGAGTGTAGGTCCCTAGGACCCACACAGGAAAGCCTGTAACCTAGAGGTGAGGACGTAGATCCAGGAGGCTTGCTGGTCATCTAATCTAGCTGGATTGGTGAGCACCAGATTCAGCGAGAGGCTGTCTCAGAAATAAGGTGGAGACCAACTGAAAAAGAATTCAATGTTGACTTCTGACCTCCGCATGTACTTTCGTGTGTGTGTGTGTGTGTGTGTGTGTGTGTGTGCGCGCGCGCGCGTGCGCGTGTACCTGCACAAGCACACAGAAGAATATTATGTAAATGAGATATTAGATTTGTTTTAGGTTTTCTCATTCTTGCTGTTAAGAGTGAATTTTGACTGGAACCTGACCTTTCTCATTAAGTGGTGAACTTTTGGATGTCAGACTTTCTCTTTTAACAGCTCCTTCTAACAGTGTCAGAAGGGTAACTGACTGCCACCGCTTTGAGTTTAAAATCCAGTTAACATCTGGGAAGCCTGTTGTCTTGTTGGGTGTAGATGTGTAGTATGTTATGAGATATATAACAACAATAAGGTTAGTGACAGCTGTAGAATTACTCAAGTGTCTTGCAGGGTTGAGCCTATGTGTCAGTTGGTACTGTAGTGCAGCCTGACCCTAGGGATTTCTATTCATGGCCCTCAGGACTTCCTGGAGGCAAGGGCATTTCAGCACACATGCTAAGTCTTCTAAACCTTAGAACAAAGTTTGTCCTTACCAGGACACCTTCAACTCCCTTTGTGGGAGAAATGATGGTAGCTGACCCACTGAATGCAGGTATAGGAGGAAACTACACCCAATTCCGAGGCTTGTGTCTGGATGGAGACTCTCCTAGTCAGTTGTCTTCTGTCCCCGAGTGTATCTGGACCATGACACTGGCCGGTGCCTCCTACACTGCCAGGACAAACTGCTCGAGGCATGGCCACCATTTATCCTTGATGCAAACGGAACAGAAAGTGAGAGGTTGTCCCCAAGGAAGTTAGTCACTAAGACCATGCCAAATCCCCAGATGTGATGATTGAAAATCGAATGGCATAAGCAAACGAGCAAGAGGATTTTGACACTCATTAATTTCTTTTCAATTTTACAGAAAGACTTCAATTTCTTGGTAAAGAAGAAACAGAGTAAAAATTATTTCTGGTCCATTTTTTTAAACCAAGTATATTTTCTTCTTTAAATGTTTTTTTAGCAGAAAAACCTTTACCCAAGTTTCTTCTTTGACAATTTCATTCACATATAATGTATATTCTGATTATTGTAACTGTGACTATCCCCTTCTCCTGACAAGCGTCCCCTCCCGAATTCATTACTTTTTGTTAGTTTGGGTTGTCTTGTTGTTATGTTTTTGAAACTCTGTTTAGTGGGTTGGGAACTATGTGCTGAGGCCAGGTGGGCTCCTCAGTGAAGATGATGACTGTTCCTCTTCCTAAACCCCTAAGTAACTAGTTCCCAACAGGAAGGGTTAGGGACACATAAACTTGTCCCAGATCTGTGACTGTTGATAGGCCTGTTGACATCCACTCAGTTACATTTCCACCAGGTTGTTCAGAGAACACCAAAGACTGCTCTTTATCCATCAACAGAAATGTGTTTGAGATTTGACAGATTTCCAAATGCAGGTAACTTGTTATCTAATGATCCTATTCAGAGTCAAGAGGTCAAGCATGAAACTTACCATGGCTATAAGATAAATGATAGCCATAGGTCCATCCAAATGACTGTGACTGTGAATCATTTAATGCTATAATATAACCCTATCCTGAAGAATTCCAACCTACTTCCAGGGATTTCCAGCAACCAGGCCATCTCAGCAGATATAACTTTGAGAAACCATGGCCAAATAATTTACTCTTATCAAATTCTCTTTACAAAAGAAAACAATTAGCAACTAACCTTGATTGAATACAGATATAAAAACATAGAAGGATAGTCCAAAGCTTGAGAATGGTCCCTTGATAGAGATTTTGTTATCTGTCTTTTAAGAGGGCAGCTAGAATGAACTAACTGCTTGAGACCATGTATAAGGCATGCCTTTTTTGAACAATGAACTGGGAGAGAAACTTTTGTTTTTGCACTAGTTAATTTCAATATCAAACATCCCTAGACATGCAAAGTGATTTCTGCTGATCACATGGTGGAGGTAGCTGCCTTACTTCTGTGCCTTGGTGACAGTTTATTTTCTACAAGGTCTCCTATGATTGTGCCTAGCAGGGAGGAGCCTTGGTACAGGTAGCAATGTATAGTCTCAGTCCCTCATTGACTTTTACTGGTATGGGTGTGTGAACATCTTTTCCTCCATCATCTGCACTGTGGCTGGTGGCTCCTATTGTGCTTGGTTTCTCTTTCTTCATCAGCCCTGGAATATATGGAAAAAAAACCATCTAGCAAAACCATCCTAACTTCAAGCCTAACCCCCAACTCCTTTGCTGTATTGCTAAGGTCTTCTTTTCTGTTTTTTTTTCTTGTGTGTGTATTTGTTTTGTTTTTGTTTTTCAAGACAGGGTTTTTCTGTAAAATAGCCCTAGCTGTCCTGGAACTTGATTTGTAGAACAGGTTGGCCTTGAACTCTCAGAGACCACCTGCATTTGCCTCCCAAGTGCCAGGATTAAAATTGCGTGCCACCACACCCAACAAGGTCTTCTCCAATAGAATGTTTTTGAGGCATCTTCCTTATTTATGTAAACATGGCTCACAGATCATATTGTTGTAACTGGCTTCGTGGCCACGCAATATCTCTTACACGTCACAGTGAAGTCTATTTCATGTCTTATGACCGATGAGAACTGATTCCCCCATCATATCCCTTTCCCATATCCTTCTCACACACCATTTCTCTTTCACAGTGTCCACACATCTCCACCTCGCAGTGCAGACTTGAAAGAATTCATTTGAATCAACAATCCAGTGCATATCTCCTAGCATTTTCTGGGTATACTCTCTGATCCATTCATTCTGTTGTGTTTTGCCTCTTGGTAGACAAATCACCATGCTTCCACTCTTCAATGGTTATTTTTACATTTTCATTGATACATAAAACTGCATATTTAAATGTGCATAATATCATATGTGTATTTTACTACATTCAAATGTGATTAAATATATCTATCTACTCAAATATTTATTGTCTTGTAGTGGTGAAAACATTTAAAGAATTCTAACAGTTTTTTTGGAGACATGTAATCCATTATCACTCCCCATCATCACACTACTGAGCATTAGTCCATCAGAACTTTTTTCCCTCATAAAATTATAACCTAGTACTCATCAGCTAGCCATTAGCTTTTATCTTGCCTGGTCTTCAAAACTAGACATTAAGTTATTGTTATTAAGAGCATACATCTCTTGAAGCATTATTTACATTTTCTCCTGCTTCATATTGGAAATCTTTTCAGTCTCATGGCTGTAGTATCTCCATATCAAAGAAAAGCTCCAGTTGTTCACATAGATTTTAAACCTTTCTCTGCACCATTGGATCAAGTATTTTAAATCCAAGTTTCAGTCTCATTACATCCTTATCAGATCAGACCAGAGATGCTCATGGGTTTTACCATTACCTCTGGCCAATTTGCAGTTCTCATCCCCAGTCTTGTTTGGAGGTATACTTTGAGACCACCAAAGCATAGAAGAGTGTTGTGATTTATCAGAACAAACCTGAGAAGGGGTGTCTTGGTTTCTACACTCTCAAAAGTGGTCCAAAGGTTTCAAGACTCTGTTTCCTTTGCATTGTGATGCTCTTTTGTGTGTGTGTGTGTGTGTGTGTATACATGTGTTGGAGAGGGGTTGTCACACATGTGTGTGTATAAACCAGAATCTGTCATTGGCTGTCTTCCTCAATTGCTCCCCACCTTATTTTTGAGACAGGATTTCTCACTGAACCTGGAATTTACTAATTCATTTAGACTGGCTGGCCAGCAAGCCCCATGGACCCTCCTGTCTCTGTCTCCTCATGTGCTGCCATGTGGAGGTTTTGTGTGCATTAAACTCAGGTGCTTGTGAAGCATTTTATAGATTGAGCCATCTTCCCAGCCCTTTTTGTTGTCGTTAAAATCATTTTAAAATTGTGTATATGTGTGTGTGGGTGAATATGGTGAGTGTAGGTGCCCGTGGAGGATAGAAAAGGGCAACTCATCCCTTGGAACTGGAGCTGTAGGCAGTTGTGAGCTACCTGATGTAGCTGGGAACTGAATGTAGGTCTTCTGCAAAGAAAGTATGTTCTCTTAACCACTAGGCCATTTCTCCAGCCCTTTGTTGCCTATCTGAGGGTACCTAAGGAGGCAGAAAAGTCAGTTGTGATGGTGCACACTTGGGAGGTAGAGGCCGGAGGATTCCTGTGAGTTGAAGGCCAGACTTGTCTATACAGTGAGCTCTAGGACAGCCAGGGCTGAGATGATGCTGTCTCAAAACAAACAAACAAGCAAGCAAACACCCAAAGGAACAGAAGACACTTAAGTTAGAGAAGCAGAAGTTTCCAGTTATTAATGATCTTTGCCAATGACAAGGCTGCCATGAATAACATTTTGATATTTTTTCCTGGAGGAGACTGAATACTTCAATACCTACTCTGATGAAATTTCTTAAAACATTATGTTTGGGTTTGAGATTTCTAACTGTTGATTTTGTGTTATTTTTGTAGGCAGCACTCAGCATATTTGGCATGGTTGGTGGACCACTTCTGGGCCTGTTTTCTTTGGGCATCTTAGTCCCCTTTGCCAATTCAATTGTAAGTATAACTAATGGATATATCTAAAGGTTACTTTTCCATCTACATTTTTTCTTCTCAGCTGTAAAGACATTGTTGCTTTGAGATCTATCATCAGTTACTTGTCTTGGAGACGAAAATTGCTCATTTTGACTTTGATAGAGTACACGGTGAATAGCTACGCACTGAGGTCTTGCATGCAAGAAGCTAAATAGAAACTAGCAGAACCATGTGGTGCAATTTAAATACTCATCATGTCAATAGACCAACATCTCTTGCACATTTAAATTCTTGCCATTCTTAAAACTAAATATCTAGGCTTTAAGGAAGGAGATCAACAGGCTTAGCTCTAAAGATGGCTTGAGTCAGAGCCCAGCAAAGAAAGGTAATCAGATCTTTACTGCTGTGACCACAGAGTTTGTTCTTCTGATACTTCAAGCCATAGCTCCTGCACGTCATTCTAGCCCTGAGGAGGTGAATATAATTGGGAATATTTTTCAGAAAGAGGCGATATCTCTGCTATTATATCTAACCATGTCTGTGTATGGAAATACAAAATTGTGTTTGGAATAAATGGAATCCAAATGACTTCTCTGAAAGCCAACAGGAAGTCCACTTCTATTACAAGAGGAAGTTCTGGAAAGACTAGAATGTAGTAAGAGATGTCAGGCATTTATAGCACAGTCAATGGTTAGATAAAGAGGGAATGAGGTTAGTGGGTCTCCAGGACTCTGGGCAGAGAGACCAGGGATCTATGGTAACCTTGACAAGAGGCAAAGATACTGTAAGGGAGGACAGTCAGATATGGGGCTTACCAGCTTGGCTTTGACCATTTTGAAAGTGACTTTCTCATGGTAAATCTACCTCAAAGAGAATTACATTATTTTTCTTTTAAAAGCACTTTTGTTTTTCAGGGAGCACTTGCTGGCCTGTTGGCTGGATTCGCCATTTCTTTATGGGTAGGAATTGGAGCTCAGCTTTACCCTCCACTTCCTGAGAGAACATTGCCATTGTCCCTGGAAATCCACGGCTGTAACAGCACACGCAATGTGTCAGACTGGATATCAACTACAGAAATGCCATTTTCCACTAGTGCTTTTCAGATACACAATGTGGAAAGGTATTAAGTTTCATGTTTTGTCTTCATTCTATGTGTGACAAGTAGGGGACATTTTGTTTCTGTTTGTTTGTTTTTGGTCTTGCTTATAATACTGCTTTTTCCTAACCCTGAACTGGGTAGACCCCTGTGGCTTTCTTGCTGCATTATTTTTTAGTATTCCTACCGTATAAGGATAGCAAGTGACACAGCTGAAGACTCATTGAGACATCCTGTGCTGCCTAGTTAGCTTTTCAAGCTTTCCGGATTGAGTTTGCATTCTTTTGATTTCCTAATAGTTGATTAGTGTATCTTGGTGATTTCAGTCTTAATTCTCTTATGATTAATGAAGTTGGCCACACTTTAATAAGTTTACTTTTGTCACTTGCCTTTTGAAGACTATTCCAAGATTCAACAGATTCTGTCTCTTTCTTCCTTGTTTACTTAGGAGTTGGTGATATGTTCTCTATTCAAAATACGTTTTGAAGTTATTTTTCCTCAATCAATAGGTTTCATTTTTACTTTTTGCTAAGTTTATTTTTTGTAAGAAATCATGACTTATCTTTTAGTCTTTTGTGGTCTTGTTGAAGAAGTCATTGCCTACTTTGAGGTCATAAAAATATTCTTCTAATTTATTTATTTAGCTTTTGTTTGCTTGTTTTCTCAAGACAGTTTCTTTGTGTAGCCCTGGATGTCCCAGAACTCACTCTATTGACTAGGCTGGCCTTGAACTCAGAGATCCACCTGCCTCTGCCTCTGGAGTGCTGGGATTAAAGATGTGCACCATCATGTCTGGCTATTGCTCCAATTCTTAAATTAAAACTTCTAATGTTAACTGTTTACATTTAAGAAATGTAACCCACTTGAGGCTGAACTGAATGGTGTGATCAAGATTAATTTTTCCTCATGTAAAATTTTAATTAATCAAGTACCTCTTATTGAAAAAAAATCCCCTGTTGTCCATCAAGGTTTGCTGTTGATAAAATAATGTAAATCAAATGACAGTTTCCTGACAGGGAGGGGAGGGGTCAGCATTCTACCCTACTTTTTCCTGTCTTTGCTCAATATCACACTATCTCAACTTCATTGGTTTGTCTCAGCCTGTTTCCCTTCTTCCTGGGATTTTGGCTTCTGAAATTCTCATTTCCTTGATCTTTCTTGTGCCTTCAAAACCTGTTTCCACTTAGTGTTCTCATCAGGGCAGGTGATCTTAATTAAGCTAGTTAATTGAAGCTGAAAGTGGCATCTTGGAGTGATGCCATATCTTCCCAGTGGTCTGTGATCACACATTGCGGTGTAAACCTTCCCTCTCTGACCTGTTCGTGTCCTATAGCGTTGCTCCATTTTTCTTATAGGACTTTCATTACTGCACATTGTAGTTCTCTTTCATTGGATATAAGCTTTATGGGGACAGCAATCTTATCTACCTTACTTATGGCTGACTCCAATGATAACAACAATATTGGGACCATAATGAAGAGATGGATGAATGAACACTGACACTTAACATTTTATTACATATGTTAGTCAGATTTGTGCTACAAAATACCAACTTGATAAAAGAAAATGGCACTTGATTTATGACTTCAGGGATGTCAGGCCGTGCTGGCCTAACACTGATACTTTTGACCTTTGTTGGCACAGTAGATCATGGTGACAGCTTGTGGGAGAGGAGGTTGTTTCACCTCATGGAGCTGGAGGGCAGGAGAAAAAGAGGCTGGGCACCCAATATCCTGTTTGAGGGACTCCTGTCATGACTTACCTCTTTTTTTCTAGGCATTATCTCCTAAAAGTTCACCATGACCAATAGCTTAGGATGAAGGCCAACCAGTCAACACACCTGCCTTAAGGGGACACTTATTCTAACTACACTTATTGCCAACCTAAGAAGCAAATGAGGCATGCTGGGTGTGAGACCAGAGTTTGTTTGTGCTAAAGCAAAGATAACGCCTCAGAAAATGCCTCCTAAAATGGCATTTGAGGGGTCAGGGATTTAAACAGATTACAACAAGAAAACAGGAGTTAATAGAAAATTGTTGTCTACAGGGTCAGGAATAGCATAGGATGTTGATTTGATTACATGTTATTTGTACATTCCAGGTAAGAATTATAAAAAACAAAATAAGGACATTATGGGGCTGTGTGCTTTTGTTGTTTTGTCAGAGTCCACAGAAACCCGCCTATGCTAGGCTGTAGTGACCTATGTGATTATGGCCTCATGCTTTACGTTCTCCTGAGCCAAAGAATTATGGTACCTTATTCTTACGGTATTAATATTTAAAGTCCTTTCTTACATGCATGGTCAAAGTGAAGCCATATTTTATATTCCCGATTTAAATCAGACGAGTTAATTATGACATTAAAAGTAGCTAAATATTGCTTTTTTACTTTCAGGATCATTGGTACACACATTTGTTGTTAGGAACATGGTGAATTATTATAGTTATGTTTTTGGTATCTTTCAGGACTCCACTGATGGACAATTGGTATTCATTATCATATCTGTACTTCAGTACTATTGGAACATTGGTGACATTGTTAGTGGGGATACTTATTAGTTTATCAACAGGTAATTATGTTAATATTTTTATTTTCACTTTCAGATATTCAAGGGTTTCCTATGTATGATTTACAGCTCTTTACAACACTTTACCATGTTCTTATTAATGATGTAAATTAATTTTAAAATTTTACTCATGGGGTATTTAGGAGCCCATTAGGGCAGAAGAACTTAACCCATCACTATTGAAATATTGGTTCTGCCATTTAATAGCTACCTGGATTCAGGCAAGCTACATAACCACTCTACTCAGAGCCTTAGCATGGTTCTGTATAAAATGAAGATGATGAAGATAGTTGCTTTAAGATAAAACTGAGGTGTATGAGAACACTTAATACACAGTATCTTGTTATAAAGATAGGGAGAGGTGTATGCATATCTTGGCAACATTGTTATGCCAGGATGTTTCCATTGTCCAATACAGATTCTTTGTAAATTTAAGAAATGTACATACGTGTAAGGAACAATAGCTATAATATTTATGTGTGAATATAGTATAAAGCTTTTGAGAATATTCGTAAAGTGTAAAAAATATTAATAATCAGTTGATAATGCACAAACTGTAAAATGATCTGGAATGGAGGTTTCATCCTGAGATTTTATTTTGTTCTAGTTGTAGGAATTCTCTTGGCCCCCTTCTTGTGTTGTTATGTCCCACAACTTCTCACTTAGTTTGTACCTCTAGTTTATTTTTAAATCTGTTGATATTTTTATATGTATTAGTATTTTACCTGCGTATATGCAATTGCACTGTGTGTTTGCTTCATGCCCACAGGGGCCAGAAGAGGGTTCCATATCCTTCCTTACATGTGATTCTGAGCCACCATGTGGGTGCTGGAAACCAAATCCAGGTCCTTTGCAATAGTAAGCTGCAGAGTATTAGAAATCTGTAAGAATCCAGATGGACACACTCGATCGGTCTTCAGCTCCATTTGTCTCTTTGCACTGAGTGTTTGGTTTGTTTTGTCAGTGAAATGGGGCCGGGGTGTTCTGTAGCAATTGTCAAACTTTAGCAGATATAAAAAAATCACCGTGGAAATCTGGCAAAAACAAGTGTTCAGTGGCCCCGCAGTTTGGTCAGGATCAGGGAGTGGTAGTTGGATCTTCAGGAAGACTTTAAAGTTTTCTTTGCATTTTTATGAGTGTATAAAGCTAAATGTTCATAAGCCAAAAACCTGTGTTGTATGTGTCTGTATGACAGTGTAAATAACGCATTTGTTTTTCAGGAGGAAGGAAACAGAATTTAGACCCGCAATTCTTACTGACCAAACAGGACTTTTTATCCAATTTTGATGCTTTTAAGAAAGTAAGTTTTGTTTATCTTAAATTAGGGAAGTAGGTTTTTAATCAGAATAGAACACTAGCTAGTCCACAGACATACAGACATACAGAAGGGATATTTCTATCTCTACAGGCATACAGTTAATACATAAACATTTGAGCGAATTCATAGGTATTCATAGCCAAAGTATCTGATGTACACTATCCTATCTTTTACTGACTTATATTGCTTGGCTATTACTCTCCCTTGGTAGATTTAGAGAAATGAAAACAGTAGTAATGATTATCTGTCATTGCACAAATAAAGTTTCTTTGTGAAAAAAATTTCCATGTAACCTTTTCTTTGCAGAAAAATCATGTTTTAAGCTATAAATCGCATCCTGTGGAAGATGGTGGAACTGATAACCCCGCCTTCAATCACATCGAACTGAAAGCCACAGATCACAGCAGCAAGATCAATGGGACTCGCTTGTGAAGCATCTCCAGGGCCAGAGGCTACTATGTCATCACTATCTTTTGCTTTTAGTGTTTTACACTGACTATCAGATTATTGTTTCCCTATCATAGGTGTTTTGGAAGATCTATTTTTGTTAAAGCTATATCCCAACTTGGTTTATTTTCTACAATGATGCTACACTAGAGTTAAGAGTTTCAACATCAGCATATTCCAATAGAGCTACAGTTGTGAATGTTATGACCACATACAGTCTGAAAGGCAAATATAGACATATACAGGTGACACTTGATCAAAGGCATAGTCTTACATTTGGGAATTACTGAAAGTGTTTTTATGCCTTTGGTGCTAGTATATAAATTCTGGGATATTTGTTAAAACCATAAATTCTGGAAAGAGCTTTTTGCCTCCCCCTACATATTCTGTTTCTAGGCAGCAGTGAAATGAGGAGGGATAGAGGATGTCTGTGATCTTCACTTCAGGATCAGTCCATGGTGTAACCTTGCTACTGATTCTGCCTCTGGAATGGGGTAAACCAAAGGATCCTGCCCAGGAGACAGTAGGGACCCAAGGATCAAGATCATCTTTAATACATTCTTATATCTGTCTCCCATCAAGTCCCAGACTATTGGCCAATTACATTGCCTGTCATAGACTACAGACTATAGACTGTTGACTATAGACTATACACCATTTCCTCTAGAGTACAGACTATAAACTATACTTCTTGTCTTCATTCTTAGTTTCCGTCCCACTGATCTTGCTTTGTTGGGCTCATTGTCCCGGCTTAACTGTTCCAGCTTCCTGGGCTTACATATGTCTTGAGACAACTAATATGCATCATGTCACCCCTGTCCCTCATTCACCAGGTTCCAGCCTATAAATTATATATGCCCATGCACCTAGTACTGACTAATGCATATGCCATGTAGAACACTATATCTTGAAAAAGTCAAGTCCTGTGGAGTCAGATAATTGCTTTTAGTGCTGTTGAATTGAACTATTAATTCATGATATTAAAGAGCTAAATTTCACAGGGAAATATTACTTTTATCCACCGGTTCCAGACGTATTAAATATATGCTTTGTTCTAATATTTCAAGAAATTGTCTCAAATTTCTTAGCTATTTATTTGGATGTGTTCACAGCTACAACTTGTGTTACAGAATTTCATCAATAACTTATTTTTCTATAATACACACATTAGATATCATTTAAAAGATTTTAAAAGCTTTCACATTTTTAAAAGAGAAATATTGACATTTTGAAAATATTTTATAATTTTGTACATATTTTGTGGTCTGTCATATTTAGATGGCCATGCTTTGTACATTTAAATATTGTTAACTGACATTAAAAGCTAAAAACTGAAATGTTAAAAAATTAGCATTTATCTGAAGCAAAGAGATTTATTTACCATTTAAATCAACTATGTATTTGTGTACTTCTTGTGTATATAGATCTATTTTTGATCACCATATTTGTAAACAAAAATCAAGTTTTGTGACTCTTTCTTGCAGTACTCCAGTGAACAGGGTCATATAATCCTATGTGTAGTCTTATATAACTATGATTAGAAGTATAATTATTTATTAGATGATTCTGAATGAACGTGTATGTGGAATGCTTCAGGTTTGCAATGAGAATCAGGTTATTTGAATAACTTTTCCTTTGATTGATTGCTCAGAGATTATGTAATGTGCTCTTTATGGGAAATGATATTCCAGATGCTCTTGTATACTTCCTATAAGCATATCTTTGTGACATTTGGAAATATAAATGTTTTACATTTACAATCATACAGGAGTGCCAGATAAATTCTTAAAGTAAAATGAGGTTGTTATTACCTAAATAGTATTTGTTTAAAATGCCTTTGAAATTTGAGGCAAATCTGAGTATGGGTGAGTTGTCAGCATATTATCAAGTAAATAATCATTTCTTAGTTTTATTGAATCATAAAAACCTTAAAGAAGAAAAAAAACATGCAAGTTGTCTGCCACTAGCTAACAGACACACAGGGCAGAGAGAGGAATATGGGTGTAAGGAAACAGGAGCTTGCTCTTTCCAGCTGAGAAATTGGCGAGGTAAGGTGTGGCTGTGGCTTGCTCCTTCATCACTCTGATCTTCAGACAGGCTTTATTTGTATAATAAAGGTATCCCCACATGTCAGTACCTTTTGCTGCTGACAAATATGTCTTTGAATTTGATGGTATAAGCATTAGGCTGCCTACCCCACAGAAACAGTGGGGATGGGAAGGATCGGAGCTTTGACAGAATAGGAATTTTTTAATCCAAATAATTTGAGTCAAAAGCAATTTGCTAGTTTTTTTCTTTTTGAACTAAGACAAATTTGTACTATCATGTTGCAGAGAAAAAAAAGCTTCTCTACACATATGTGTGCTACAGGAATAAGACAATTTGAAGACCAGTGGGATTATTCCAACAGAAAGAACAGAAACCTTAAAGAAAGGCACAACTCAGTCCTGTTCATTCTACAGAGTGATGAAAACTTTAGTGGTTAAGATGTAAAACAGTACAGATTCTTGTTTATCAATATGATGAATTGTTGGCATAGCCCTTTTTTGTTGTTTTTTTTTCTCTTAAGACATAGTTACCAACACAGACCATTCTGTTTCTCTGGGGATATGTGGAGACATTTAAGTGGTCACAATGAGGGGGGAGTGCCAGTGTCACACACATAGGAAGTTAAATTCGGGAAATCCATTTAAAGTCCCACAGGATAGGGCAGTGTTCCTTGTCCACCTGAAGAACCAGTCAGCTGAAGATACTAATAGTGTGTGTAGCTTGAGAAACCACAGACGCTAATGCTGATGCTTTTTAGAAGTCAACAATCGGATGCTTCTATCTGAAAATAGCATTAGCTTGTAGAACATTATGATGGTGGATAATGGTCACATATTTTCAGAGAGGTCTGAAAATGTTAAGATATTTTCACAAATAGTGGGTTTTTAGACTATCCTTAGGCCAGCCCAGCTCCCAACCTGGTTTCTAATTTGGCCACACATTAGGATGATATGAAACACATGACAGTTAAGATCTCCTAATTTCACATTATTTATGACAAGCATAGGGAATGCAACTTGCTTCCTTAATTAAGTGAACATATGATGCAGACCCATGGGTCAGGGTGGAGGTTGAGACAGAGTGAATCATCCTGAATTGATTCTTACAGGAAAGTCTGAGGCTTCTCATAAAGATTATTGACAAAGACTAAACTGAGGAGTAGGGGTTGCGATTCAGTGGTAAAGCTCTTACTGAGCATGTGCAAGAGCCTTGGCTTCCTTCATAGCACCTCTAAAAACTGAGTAACTGTGTGTATGACCATTTAGTTATCAAAAATGCCTTAATGCATTTAGAGTTAACTCTGTGCCATTGTTGGTGAAACTTGGGGGAAAATTGATTATTTCTACATAAAATAATTAGAGAAATCTAATTTTTTAAATTAACTGATTAAAATTTCCATAAAAATCTTTATGGTTGTCTGTTCTTGGAATAAGTGTCTGAGTGAATAGAATGAATGTTACCTTCCTTTATAAAGCAAAGATATTTCTATTTTATTTATTTCATAAAGGGTTCTCTTGAACTAAATGCTGTATATAAATCATAACACTGAAAGCAAATGAACTTGTTCAATTTTGTCACTGAGGACCATTTTATATTTTAATTAATTATTATTGTACTTGAAGTCAGAAATGCTATGATTTACATGTTGTACTTCAAGCAGCCATGATGGAAAACTTGGTCCACAGGGTGGCACACCTAGAAGACAGTTGAATCCATGGGAAGTGGGTCTAGAGCAGGTCTTCAGATCACAGGCAGTGATGCCCTCAGAAGTGATTGCTGAAAGCCATTCATGCTCTTTCTTCAGTCTCTGCCGCATTCAAGCTCTGACTTCTTGCCACTCCCCGTGCTCCTGTCACAATGAGCTAGCTTCATCAGAGGCTGAAGCACAGGACCACCTCAGCTACGCCATGAGCTTTCAGAACTGTGAATTCAACCAACCTTTCCCCTTTAAAGATTTACTTAACTTTAATCTGTGGTCTGTTGGAGCACATGAAGGGACTCATCCTGCAAACCCAAAACTGCAGGATTTCCACAACACAGAGCAACAGCAGGATAACCAAGAGGAGTCTCAGTGAGGGCCCAGCATCAATAGTGTAGCAGAAACCAGAGACCTTGACAGACCAATGACTCTGCAATGAACACTTGCAAGTAAAGATATATGGCTAAATGAGATTTCATTGTCTCAGGTATTTCATTGTAGTAATGTGAAGTTCACTAATATAAAACAAAGTGGACCAGGGTTTTAAGTCAGTGGAAGAGCCCTTGTCTAGCATGCAAAAGGTTTGATCCTACATACCAAAAAGCATGAACATACAAAAAAATCAAGTTTCCTGTATCAACTTCACTTTTTAGTTAATAAAATTTAAAAATTAGTGTGAATAATTGTTGGTAACAGCAGGACCTCAGACTAGAATTGGAAACACCAAATCGGAAAATTTTCATTGTTTTAATTTTTTAATTTAAATTAGAAACAGGCTTGTTTTACATGTCAATCCTAGTTTCTTCTCCCTTCCCTCCCCCTCTACCCCACACTAACCCCCTATCCTCTCCTCTTTCTGCTCCCCATGGAGGGTGAGGCCTTCCATAGGGGATCATCAAAGTCTGTCACATCATTTAGGGCAGGGCCAAGGCCCTCCCTCGTGTGTCTAGATTGATAGAGTATCCCTCCATGGGGGAATGGGCTCCCCAAGTCCATGCATATGCTAGGAATAAATACTAAGCCACTATCAGAGGCCCCGTAGATTGCCAAGGCCTCTTCACTGACACCCACATTTAGGGTATCTTGAACAGTCCTATGCTGGCTTCCCAGCTATCAGTCTGGGGTCCATGAACTCCCCCTTGTTCAGGTCAGCTGTTTCTGTGTGTTTCACCAACCTGGTCTTGACCCCTTGGCTGCTCATCACTCCTCTTTCTCTGCAACTGAATTCCAGGAGTTTGATTCAGTGCTTAGCTGAGGATCTCTGCTTCTGCTTCCATCAGCTACTGGATGAAGGCTCTAGGATGTCATATAAGGTAGTCATCAATCTCATTATCAGAGAAGGGCATTTAAGGTAGCCTCTCGACTATTGCTTAGATTGTTAGTTGGTGTCATCCTTGTAGATCTCTGGACATTTCCCTAGTGCTAGATTTCTCTTTAAGCCAATAATGGCTCCCTCTATTATGGTGTCTCTTATCTTGCTCATCTCTATTCTTCCCCTGACTCAAGCTTTCTGCTCCCTCATGTCCTCCCCTCCCCTTCTCTTTTTCCTAACACACTCTCTCCTCCCTCCATGCTCCCAATTTGCTCAGGAGATCTTGTCCCTTCCCCTTCTCTGGGGAACCATGTATGTCTCTCTTAGGGTCCTCCTTGTTTCTTAGCTTTTCTGGCAGTGTGGATTGTAGGCTGGTAATCCTTTGCTCTATGTCTAAAATCCATATATGATTGAGTACATACCATGTTTGTCTTTTTGTGACTGGGTTACCTCACTCAGGATAGTTTCTTCTAGTTCCATCCATTTGCCTGTGAATTTCAAGATTCAATTGGTTCCCCCCCCCCCGTGCTGAGTAGTACTCCATGGTGCAAATGTACCACATTTTCTCTATCTGTTCTTCAGTTGAAGGGCATCTAGGTTGCTTCCAGGTTCTGGCTACTACAAATAATGCTGCCATGAACATGTTTGAACAGATGTCCTTGTTGTATAAATGTGAGTCTTTTGGGTATATGCCTAAGAATGGAATTGCTGGATCTTGTGGTAGACTGATTCCCACTGCTGGTGGGAGTGCCAACTTGTATAGCCACTTTGGAAATCAGTATGGAGATTCCTTAGGAAAATGGGAATCAGTCTACCACAAGACCCAGCAATTTTCATCTTCTTGAAAAAAGTTTTAAAGTTGAAAGTTCTATCTCAAAGCTGTAATTCATAGGATATAAAATTAAGTGATCAGTCAAGCTCGAGAAATGTTTAGGTACAAAAGATGACTGTGGTTCCATCCAACTGCCCAATTCGGGAAAGTGTCCTGCAAGCAGATTCCCAAGTTTCCTGTTTGGCAAGAACCTTCCTCTTCTGTGACCACTTCTGGTCATTTAATTGAAGTACCCACTTATTCCCTGTGCAGTCACTGGGTGAGCAAAATCCAATTTTCCCAAGAGGGGAATTCCATCTGACCATTTACTGTGAAGGATAGATTAAATCTTTTCAATTTAAATTCATCAAACCAAAGACTATTTTGAAAAGTCCAAATTTTATCATCCAGTCCTATTTCACAAGTTCTTATTTCCTCATTTTACAAAGGCCCATTTCCCCTTTATCTTTGCTTAGGTTAACTCACCCAAAGGGCACAGAGTATGGTTTGATGGTATTCATGCCGTTCCCATCCCCTTCTACACGAGCAGATGGGGATTCCTCTTCCCTCGTCCTCTGCTTCCTTTTTGCTCTCTGGATGACCCACAGCGGCCACTTCACATTCTGTCCTAGAGCTTTGGCCAGTGTCAGCATCACCTGGAGGGGCCGGGCTGTACTCCCAGTTTCTGATTAGGCAGCACTGGCACAGAGCCCGGGATTTTATGTCTTTTGATTTCCTGAGGGTGATGGTACTTCTGGTCTGCAAATCACACACAGAAGATGATGGTTCTAATTCACTGAACTCTTTGGAAGCTCCACCTGACTCAGAAGATGCTAAGTCCTCACTGTCTAATAAGACTCACACCCCTCAGTCAGGAGAACTTCTCTAAAGTGCCCCACAATGTACTGCATACACAATCCACTCCTGTTTTCTTGTTATTTTATACGCTCTCCTCTTGTACTGCAAGCCACCCTTGGCACTACCTCAAATCTCTGAAACAAATATTTGCTCAGTTGTTAGCACCTGGTGGCGTGTGTATCCTTTCCCTCTCTTCCGTGCCTCTAGATGGTTCTATCTTGCACTTAGCCTCCACCCCCAGCCATCATGATACGCTTCACACGTGTAGAACACTCTCAGCTACCTGTCAGTGGCACACACTCTCCATTTCTGATGTTGTGTTCATGTGAAGGGGACCATCCACCCCAGACACCTCCGTGACTTCATTCTGCTGACAGAAACAAGGAATGGCTATAGAGGTCGGTCAGCGTGCGTGACAGATCAGTCCTAGGACTGGGGGACAAGCGGCAGCTTTCTCCATTTAGGGGCCACTGCTTGAAAGATGTAGTCCCTACCACCTTGTACACATTACCTTTCTGATCTGTTACTTCACTCTGGTCCCCCTGGGCCTTCATCCCTCAAACCTGTCTCAAGGTTGTTGAACTGCCTGGGGGAACTCTCCACAATAGTCATGTGGCCCAGTCCCCGAATTATTACCGGTTTCTGTTCAAATGTCACCCTTCGGGTGAGGCATTCTCTGGTCTCTATGTAAAATTGCAAGTTCCCTCCCAACACTTATATCCACCTCCTCACTTTAGATTTCTTTAGTCCCCGTATTGCTCAGATTTCTGTTTCTATAACAAATACCCACATTTAAATAAAACCGTGTATTTTAATGCACGGATTTCAGTCCGTGTTTTGGGCCTGTGTCAAGGCAAGATATCATAGCAGGAAGTCCATGATCATGATGGAGAGGAAGCATGTGCGTGTGTGCCTGCGTGAGTGTGTGTGTGTGTGTGTGAGTGTGTGTGTGTGTGTGTGTGAGTGTGTGTGTGCACGCGCTGGTTTTCCACAACACTCGCATCAAGAGCGCCTTGTCTAGTTTCCGGGACAGATGGTAGGAACCAATAGGGGAATAGGGGAAACTACTTCAGTCCTGTCACCCATGCAAAGCCACTGGTGACTGCTGTGCCCCCAGGTTCAGCTGGCTTCTTGAAACCTTGGTTCTGCTCTCCTTCTGTTACAATGCCCTGCACTTCACTGTGATATTCTCAGTGGGTTTGTGGCAGAGAAACTACCAGACAAGTCTTGCTTGATTGGTGGCAACCTGCTGAGCCAGAGAAGAGGAAGGTCTATAAGGTCCCAGAATAGGCAAGGATTTCCCACTCCTAGGTCAGTCCAAACTTAAACACTAGGTCCCTTCTCAAGATAAATCCTTGAAGATTTGCTGGGAGGGCAAGTGAATTTCTTTTCTGAAGCAGTGTCATGCTTCTTATGTATTTAGAGCATAAATCTGAAAACCTCTCAATTTTTTTCTAACATCCAGGCTTGCTGGTGTCTGCACTGATAGCTTGTGGGCCTTTTCTTTCTCTTGTGTTTCTGTACTATCTCAGGACTCCTCTTTTATCTACTGTTGAATTTCAGTGTTACCCTGGGGCCATGCATCTTGACATGCAATATTCCTTGTTGCTTTGGTGGAGGAGAATCCAGTGGGTGGGGGCCTCATTCAGCCATCTTGTTAACCCACAGAAAATCAAACTTTTTATTTCTGAACTCAATACCAGCATCTTTACTGTATTCCTCCCAGGGTTTCACACATCTGATCCCATGAGCTATAGTGAAGATAATTTGCTATTCAAGGAGATGCTCCACTTGGCATTCCCCACAGGGAGACAATTGCTGGAGGATCTTAGCTGCCATCTTGCTCTGCCCCACATTTTCAAAAGTAGTCCAATTTTATTGAATAGCTCCATTTCTTCTTAATGGCAATAATCTGAAGACCAAGCCTTTTATGCACAGCCTTTTGTGGCTGCTCCAGATCCAAATTATAGTAGTTCATTGTATGCTAAAAAACAATGATTCAAGAGGGTAGCATTTTGAGTGTTTTATTTAGTAGTCCCTTCAATACTGTTTCTATTAAGACTATAGCGGTATGCAGTGTGGACCAGAGTGGATTGGTAGGGGTGGATGTTATAATATTTAGTGGTAAACTGATTTTGCTATTCATAACAACACCTGGGATCTTAACACCAATCTATTAACACATATAAAATTCTGAGATTCAGTCTCAGGTAAACTCCTAATGCCATGTAGTTTGTTTTGTTTTTTGAGATAGGGTTTCTCTGTGTAGCCCTGGCTGACCTGGTCCTCACTCTGTAGATCAGGCTGGCCTCAAATTTAGAGATTCTTTTTTCTCTGCGCCATAACACCTGGCTGAAGATTATGTTGCATGCTGAGAAGAGATGTTCATTGAATCCCACCAAGAACTTCTAATAATGCCCTCCTCATACACCACAAGATTACTGGGATATCTTGAAGTCAGACATAATTCCAGCACTCAGCAGTCAGAGACAGGAGTATCAGGAGCTCAAGGTCATCCTCAGCTACATAGTGAGTTCAAGACTATCCTAGGCTTCATGAAACCCTGTCTCAAGAACAAACAAACATACAAGAAGCCTAGTTCATGGTTAGTGAATGCATGTGCACATAAACACACATATAAACATGAAGCTTTACATTTTAGTCAAAAAATTTCTGCACTAAGATTTAACCTCCTTGATGCTGATTTGAAAAAGTTCATGCTTGAAATCACTGTGCTCCTGAATGACCAGAACTACTGAGATTTTAATGATGAGTACAATGTTGAAATAGGACGCAGCTAGCCAACATTAAAGGAGAATATTATGTCAATGGTCACATAATGTCAAAGCTTAATGTAATTCTTGTGGGACCCTGGGGACTTGTGGTACGAAAAATAAGTGAGCCCAACTCCTGAATTTCTGTGGCATTCTTTGCCAAGTTATCTTTCCTTGTGCACAGCTGTTTCCCTTTTTGCTGTTCTATCATTCTGTTGCAAAAGGTGGCTTCCTCACCAGTGGCTAAACCCTTGGGGCCACCCATGCCTGAAATTTCAACCTTTAAAACTGTGATCTAAGTAAATCTCTCTTCTTTATGAAGTATCTGGTCTTAAGTATTAGCCCAGTGTTACAGAAGTATGGACTAGTACAATGTGAATACATAAATTTGACTATAGTAATCATTTCCTGCTGGTAATATGGTTATAAAAGATGCTGTACACCTAAATACACATGGTGTGAATGCATTTAATAGATTCCAAATCTCTGGAAGAAGAGAATTAAAATGTATTTCTCCCCCTATCTGGTCAAGTCCCCAGACAGGTGGCTCTTCTTTAGAATTAGTGCAGTAGTCTAGCAGGCAGGGACATAGAAGTACGCTCAGTATTGGTGATTAAAATTTCCTTTTCCCTTACATACTGTGCCAGTGGCATTTCCACACTCTTCATAGTGATTTTTAAGCCATTGGGTCTGAACCCCAAGAAGACAGTATGGAAGCAAGACGGGGAAAAGAGGGTCTAGGAAGAAAAACACAATTGGAGTGCTTTGTAAATAGAGAAATAAGAAAGTTTGCGGTAAAAATTGCACCATGTTATCCCGCTTATCCCAGAAGGAGAAACTACAAAAGAAGATCAGAAGAGCCAGCTGAAAATATTCCATGTGCATAAATTTATTTTAAATTTTATTGTGTCATGTTGTACAAGCATTAACATGGCTTCATGTTGGTGACTGTTTAAATGTGAAAATTCATCATTCATGTCAGTACTTTTGGCTATTTACAAATAAGGAATTCCTATGTACTTTATATATCTCTGCATTTGTATGTACATATGTAGGAATACATGACTATACATATGTACACACAGAAATACATCTATGGCCATACACATAGCTATAGATATGTCATATAGAATCATCTCCTCAGAAAGATCTGAACTTAAAAAAAAAGAAAGAAAAAGTTGTAAACAGGGTCTTGTCTGTGTCATTTGGTGACGTAGAATTAGGGCTTGATGACATTCTAGGAATGTGTCTAGGTGTTCAAATAACCCCCTTTTTAGCCCAGTGTCTGTAAAATTCACATGGGATAGAATGCAAAAAAGGTAGCAAACAGGCTGAAAAAACGGGCCCAGTATACAAGTTCCCCCTTGGTTTTAAAAACTTGAGAATGTTAACTGCCCGTAACGTGCATGCTTGCTTGGTCAAGAATGGTCTATGGATAGATAGCAATTGTGTGCTGGACTGCAGCATGATTTCACGACAGCGGGACTCCATCTCAGTCCTTCCCTGACTGCCGCCCTGTCTGCGGCTGCATGGCGGTATCTTGCAGCATGCGCTGCGGGTGCATTGCTAGTCATTCACATGAATGTGCTTTTGCACTGCTGGGAGAAGTAAACAAAATTCAGGTCTTTAGCCCGGAGATCAACTGTCACCTAGAAAGAGAAAAGGCATCAGGATTTTACACGCTTAGACCATCTCTAGATCACGGTGCACAATAGCTTGTGTGCTTACTATGTGTCCAAGGCATCCCAAGAATCTTGGAACCCCAAATGGAGTAAGGGAAGGATGAACATTATGTCTGCTTTATGGCAAGCGAGCCAGAAAGACAATCGGAAGTAACAGGAATCCTGCTGACTCTTGTGAGCATAAAGACACAAAAACCACACCTTCAAATGAAATGAGAAGCAGGCAGAAAGCAGCTCGTGGTGGAGAAGGCAGAAGAATGCCCCAGGATTGGTCGTCTGCCTTGCAGCCCAGCTTGGCCCCTAAGGACAATGGCATGTGGCTGTGCTGTGGTCTATGGCCACTGGAGCTAGCAGGAGCAGTTCTCAGTGGGGTCATCAGCTTCCCACTCCACCCAGACCCCTGGATACACCCAGCCTTTCCTCTCCAAACGAGGCCCAGGGAGGCGATCAGAATGAACCAAGGGCTGCGGTGGGGGGGGGGCGGGGAGCAGAACATATGCCACAATCCCAGAAAGCTAAAACTAGAGCACCTCGTTCCCTAAAGGACTCTTGCTTCCCCTTCTTTTGCATACGCAGAGACCGAGTCCACGTGTCACACCACACAGAGAGAGTGAAAGGCAGATATGGAGTCTGCAGGGGACACCACACACAGTGTTTAATGGTGACACACACATGGAGACTCTACGGTGTGTCGGTGCTTGGTAAATGCCACCTGTGTGGCATCATTTGAGCTACATATTAGCTCAGTTCCATAGGTAGACTTCCACAAGTTCAGTAGTTTTACCACAGTCACAGTCAAAGAGCAGATATTTGGAATGGCAGAATTGTTTCATTTTCCGTGAAGCCCAAGTCTATTCTGCACCCTAGTATGGGGCATGAGTTCAGAGGTTTACTCCTGCCAGATTTAGGCCTATCTTGTTTCTGCCCAGTTCAGCCCTTTATCAAAGCCATAATAGCCCGTGGGACAGTCAACATGCAGTGAGGGTAATGCAACTTTGCCATCAACGATGTGCATCTTTGCAGATATCTGCTACAGCTTAGCCAATAGGATGTTCCTTTTCTCTGTATCTCAGTTTTCTTTGGAGGTAGAATTTGAAAATAATATTCAAAGTTTTTGATAAAATAAAGGAAAAATCATTGAAGAACTCAAAGGGTCAAAGACTCTCCTGGACCCATAATATCAGTCTCATGGAATATGAGAACAGAGGGCTCATCTAAACAATTTACTACAGAGGAAACATAGGCCCAGAGAAATTAGGTGGCTTGTCTAAGGCCATACAACTAGTAACTGACTTGATAGAAAGTTTCAGAACTTTTTGATAGGATGTGTAGAGTTTCTGTTGAATTTCCATACAATGTCTACAGCTTCAGTCTATTTGATTTTCTTTATTGGATGTACACTTATTGTGTACCATGTGTCTACCACTAGCTAATGGGAAGAATTAAAATTACAACCCATCATGAGCTTACTACTGTGTTGAGAAAGCCTGATGACAGCTCTTGAGGATCACAAATTTGCAATACAAATCAGTGTGTGTGTGTGTGTGTGTGTGTGTGTGTGTATCTATGTCTATATCTATATCTTTATATCTATCTTAGCATATAATGCCAGAGGAGTTTAGGAGTTAAGTCTCAATTGACTGAGAGATCTGGGAAACCTTCTTAGAAGGTATGGTGGGACACAAAATGACATCTGGAAAACATGAGTTGGTAATGGAGGAAAGTCCACGGTGGGATAGTGGATATGCTGACTTCGACCAAAAGGAAGGGGCCATGTTACCCTGGGGATAGAAGGAGAATAGCCTGGGTGGAGTGGAAGGGAGGGGAAGGTTTATATTACCTACAAAGACCCTGATTCCAGTCTAGAATCTGGCAGGGAAGGAGAAGGTAGCCTGACCATGCAGGAGGGAGGATCGAGTAGCAATGATTGGGGAGACAAGCTGGTTTGGGGAGCATCTAAGAGCCTTATTTCGACCTGCTAGTGAAAACTCTGTACTTTGTTTCTGGGTGTTTGAAGCAGCGGATCCTCACCTGACCTGACTGTGGCTTCCCCCGGGGCACACTGGTCACCTACTTGGTCATGGCCACTCGTTGTGGTGTGCTTTTCCATTCTTCTTCCTCTCTTTCCGCTCTTTCTGAAGTCGCTCCAGCTCAGCCTCATACATCATCTCCTGGATCAAGTACTTCTCTCTCCTCATTCGATCCCTTAGATCTTTCGGGAGGTCTGGTATCAGATAGGAAATGAGGTGCTTTATACAAAACACGAGGTGCTAAAAAACGCAACAGAGAACACAACATAATCAGAAGTGGTTGGGACATGAAGCCTCGCCTCTGGGATGCGCGGGAGTGCGATGAGGCTGGTGGAGGCATGTACTTCAGGACAAAGGTCAGGGGAGAGCCGAATGTGGGGGAGAAGATGAGGAGAGATGCTCAATGGAGACTAGGAAAACAGAAACCCCAGGAGCAAGTCGTGACTCAGCAGGTTTCACTGTTTAGGAGCTGACTGTCCACCTGAGTGAGAGTCACCCATGGGCCTAGTCAGATGGTCATGTCAGGAGGAGATGCTCTCTTTTTGGGAAAGTGCCACTCTCATTCTTTCCCTGAAATGTGAATGGCTGGGATTCTAGAAGCACAGTCATCTTTGTCTATATCCTGGTGACACATTTGTTAACAGATGGCAGTGTGAATAAGAGTCCTTATAATTCTAAACTACTTAAGAAAAATAGATTTGTGCTAATGAATAGCAATAAGGTTTCTTCAATTTTTAAAAACAAACTCAGTGACACACAGATGATACAAAATTCTGACAAATCAAGAGGTTTTTCTCTATATTTCTAGTGCTTCAAATAGGTAATAACAATATACAGAAAGGATATGGAAAATTTTAAATGAAAAACTATTAAGTAGTTTAATAACATCCATTGTTTACTTTTTATGTATGGTGTGTGTGTGCAGATGTGTTTGTTAGTATGTATGCTTACAAAGTCATGGGGCAAAGTGATGATAAAATTGGAAGTTTTAAGGAACTTCTAGTTCAAACAAAGGCATCTGTGGTATTCGTGAATGTGATTCCAATTCATGTGACTATACATGTGACATTATAAATGGAGTTATAGAAATACACAATTTCTTAAAAGCCTGAAGGAAAATAACTGAGTTATTTTTATTGAAACACAATATAAGCAATTGCTAGGAAGACTGTACTTTCTAAGTCTATTTTGACTCTTCATAATCAGTGCTTAAGTGACATACACAAAGGCAACAGGTGTGGCATCAAGATCAATGTCTTCCATACGGTCTGTGAGCACGTGCATCATCCTAGAGGACTTGTGAAGGGGACATCACAAACAGGATGTCTCAGTACCTCTGAAAGTGGGGATGGAAAAACTACATTTCCCCTGAAGGTTAAGCATCAGTCCTAGGATATTAAATGTAGGACCCACGATTCCTGATTTGCTACTGAGAGAATCTGACACCAGAGACTTGAGGACTGTGCACAGGGGATGCCAGCCCGACGGGATTCAGCCCACCCAGAGACTGCCAGCTTCCAAGTCCCAGTCTCCACTCACCGGACAGGTGAGGTGAGGGTCCAGCCTACCCAGAGTTTGCTAAGGTCTTGATACTAGGATGGTCTCCATCCATGCAAGAGGAAAGCCACCAGGGTATTGGACCTGCTCCCACCTACTGGAAAGGAACAGTGGTCACATACCCACCAGGGGAGGAAGAGACTCCTTCTGCACCCACAGGAAGAAATGATGGAAAGGAGACAATACAAAAACACACCCACCAACAGAAAAACCAATATGACACCGCCAGAAACTAGAGAATCTACACCCACAAGACCTGAACAGTCCATTGCAGAAGAGGCAGACGAGAAAGACCTTCAAAACAACTTCATGAATGATAGAGACCCACAAAGAAGATATGAGAAAATCTCCTAAAGACATGGAAGAAAAAACAAACCCAAAAATACAATAAATGGAGGAAAAAACAATCAAAAAATGCAAGAAATGGAAGATACGGAGGAAAAAACAATTCAAAAAATGCAAAAATGCAAGAAATGGAAGAAAAGACAGACCACAAACTTCAACAAATGCAAGAAAGAGAGGAAAAGACAAAGCAAAAATTACAAAATTACAAGAAACAATTTAAAAAGTACAAGGGTTGAAAGCTGAAATAGAGAAAAAAACACAGTCTGAAGGAATGCTGGAAATAGAAAAGCTGGGCAAACAGTCAGGTACTACAGATACAAGCATAGCCAACAGAATATACAAGAGATGGAAGACAGAATCTCAGGTGTTGAAGATACACTAGGGGAAATAGTTTCATTGACCAAAGAAAATCTTAAGTCCAACAAATCCCAACACAAAATATCCAGGAAATAAGGGACACCATGAAAAAACCAAACCTAAGAATAATAGGTATAGAAGAAGGTGAAGATATCCACCTCAAAGGGGCAGAAAACATATTCAACAAAACCATAGAAGAAAACTTTCCCAACTTAAAGAAAGACATGCCAATGAAGGTAGAAGAAGCCTACAGAACACCAAATAGAGTGGACCACAAAAGGAAATTCCCTTGCCACATAATAGTAAAAACCTCGAACATAAAGAATAAAGAAAGAATATTAAGAGCAGCAAAGGAAAAAGGCCAAGAAACATACAAAGGCAAACCTATCAGAATTACACCTGACTTCTCCATGGAAACTCTGAAAGCCAGAAGATCCTGGATAGATATTCTACCAACACTAAGAAACCACAGATGCCAGCCCAGACTACTATGCCCAGCAAAGCTTTTAATCACTATAGATGGAGAGAACAAGATATTCCATGACAAAACCAGATTTAAACAATACGTATCCACTAATCCAGCCCTACAGAAAGTTCTGGAAGGAAAACCCAAAACCAAGGGAATTGACTACAATCAGAAAAACATAGGCAATAAATAGATAATCCTACCTTACCAACAGCCAAAAGAAAAGAGGTGGAAACCCACATATAATTCCATCACCATCAACTATTCCAAAACACACAAGAATGAGCAATCAATGGTCATTAATATCCCTCAATATTAATGGCCTTAACTCACCCATAAAAAGACACTGGCTAACAATGGATTCGAAGACAGAACCCATCCTTCTGCTGCATACAAGAAACACACCTCAGCCTCAAAGACAGACATTACCTCAGAGTTAAGGGTTGGGAAAAGATTTTCCAATCAAATGGACCCAAGAAACAAGCGGGGGTAGCAATCCTAATATCTAACAAATTAGATTTTAAAATAAAATCAATCAAAAGAGATGAAGGAGGGCACTTCATACTCATCATAGGAGAAATCCACCAAGATGAAGTTTCGATTTTGAACATCTATGCCCCCAAACCCACGTTCATAAAAGAAACATTACTAAAACTCAAATCACATACAAAGCTCCACATACTTATAGTGGGAGACTTCAATACCCCACTTTCACCTCTAGACAGGACTATCAGACAGAAACTTAACAAAGAAGCAAAGGAAATAATAGAAGTTATGACCCAATTGGGATTAACAGACATCTATAGAACATTCCACCCAAATAAAAAAGAGTATACCTTCTTCTTAGCGCCATATGAACCTTCTCAAAAATCGACCACATACTTGGCAACATATCAAACTCCATGTACCTTATCAGACCACCATGTGTTAAAATTAGAATTGAACAATACAAATTGCAGAAACCATACAAACTCAAGAAAGTTGAATAATGCACAATTGTATCATTCTTGGGTCAATGAAGAAATAAAAAAAGAAATTAAAGACTTCCTAGAATTCAATGAGAATGAGGACACAACATACCCAAACATACAGGACACTTTGAAAGCAGTGCTACGAGGGAAGTTCATAGCACTAAGTTCCCACATTAAGAAACTAGAGAATAGTTACATTAGAGAATTAACAGCACAGCTGAAAACTCTAGAACACAAAGAAGCATATTCACCCCGGAGGAGTAGACACCAGGAAATAATCAAATTGAGGGCTGAAATCAATAAAGCAGAGACTAGGAAAACAATACAAAAAATCAATGTAACAAAGAGTTGGTTCTTTGAGAAAATCAACAAGATAAACAAACCTTTATCCAAACCTTATCCAAGCAACATAGTGTGAACATGAAAATTAACAAAATCAGAAACGAAAAGGAGGATATAATGGACACTGAGGAAATCCAGAGAATCACCAGGTCATACTTTGAAAACCTGTACTCCACACAATTTGAAAATCTAAAGGAAATGAACAATTTTCTGGATAGATATCACTTGCCAAAATTAAATCAAGAACAGAAAAGCAAATTAAATAGGCCTGTAACCCGTAATGAAATAGAAGCAGTCATCAAAAGTCTCCCAACCAAAAGAAGCCCAGGGACAGATGGCCTCAGTGCAGAATTCTACCAGAAATTCAAAGAACAGTTTATACCAATTCTTCTCAAAGTATTCCATGCAATAGAAGCAGAAGGGTCTTTTCCAAACTCTTTCTACGAGGTTTCAATAACCTTGATACCGAAGCCACACAAAGACACACTAAGAAAGAGAACTTCAGATCAATATCCCTCATGAACACTGATGCAAAAATACTCAATAAAATACTGGCAGAGGGGCTGGAGAGATGGCTCAGCCATTAAAGGCTAGGCTCACAACCAAAAAAATACTGGCAGAGAAAGAGAGAGTAGGTCATGGAGGAACAGGAAGTTGAGTGAGTGAGGGTAGAATAGGGGGAAGAGGGAATCATAGGTTAGAAGACAGATCAGGCACCAGAGTGACCTCTAGTGATCTAAAGGGATAACACCAATTGGCAAGCTAAGCAATAGTGGAGAGACCACCTCGAATGCCCATTCCTGATAATGAACTTGATGTCTATAACCAACTGGGAGCCTTCATCCAGTGACTGATGGAAGCAGAGGCAAACACACAATTAAGCACTGAACTGAACCCAAGGAACCCAGTGGCAGAGAGAGAGGAGTGATGAGCAAATTGGCAAAGAATGGGCTGGCAAAACCAGCAGAGACAGCTGATCTGAACAGGGGAGTGCTCTTGGACCCCAGACCGACAGAGGGGAGGCTAACATGTGACTGGTCTGGACCCCCAAAATGTGAGTGTCAGTGAGAAGGCCTGGGCAACCTATGGGGCCTTGAGCAGTGAATCAGTGTCTATCCCTGGAATACAAACAGTCATCGTGTGCCCATAGCACAAAGAGGATGCTCTCTCAGCCTGGACTCTTAGAGGAGTGCCTTGACCCTACCAAGAGTGAAATGACAGACTCTAGATATCCCCTATGTGGAAGGAATTGGCAATAGGGTGGGAGGCTGGGGGGGAAGGGGAGTGTGGGAGGAGGGGAGGGAGAGGGAACTGGGATTGACATGTAAAACAAGATATTTAAAATTAAAATAAAAAATGATTAAAAAATACTGGCAAATTAGATGCAAGAACACATCAGAAAACTCATCCACCATGATCAAGTAGGCTGCATCCCAGGTATGCAGGTAACATAAGAAAATCCATCAATGTAATCCACCATATAAACAAGCTGAGAAACAAAAATCACATGATCATCTCACTGGATGCTGAAAAGGCCTTTGACAAAATCCAACACCCTTTCATGATAAAGGTCTTGGAGAGATCTGGGGTAACTGGAACTTACCTCAACATAGTAAAAGCTATATACAGCAAACCAACAGCCAACATCAAGCTAAATGGGAAGAAACTCAACGCAATTCCTCTAAGATCAGGAACAAGACAAGACTGTCCACTCTCTCCATACTTCTTCAATATTGTACTCAAAGGTCTAGCTAGAGCAATATGACAACAAAAGGAGATCAAGGGGATACAAATTGGAAAGGAAAAAGTAAAACTTTTACTATTTGCAGATGATATGATAGTTTACATAAGTGACCCAAAAATCTCTACCAGGGAACTCCTGCAGCTGATAAATACTTTCAGCAATGTGGCAGGATACAAGATCAACTCAAGAAAATCAGTAGCCCTACCATATACAGACGATAAAAGGGCTGAGAAAGAAATCAGACAAACATCACCATTTACAATTGTCACAAGCAACATAAAATACCTTGGGGTAACACTAACCAAACAAGTGAAAGACCTGTATAGTAAGAACTTTGAGTCTTTAAGGATAGAAATTAAAGAAGACACCAGAAAGTGGCAAGATCTCCCATGCTCTTGGATAGGTAGGATCAACATAGTAAAAGTGGCAATCTTACCAAAAGCAATATATAGATTTAATGCAATTCCCATTAAAATCCCAGCACAGTTCTTCACAGAACTTGAAAGAACAATAATCAACTTTGTATGCAAAAACAAAGACCCAGGATAGTCAAAACATCCTTATTCAACAAAGCAACATCTGGAGGCATTGCTGTCCCTGACTTCAAGCTTTATTATAGAGCTGTAGTCCTGAAATCAGCTTGGTATTGGCACAAAAATAGACAGGTTGACCAATGGAATCAAATTGAACACCCTGCCTGATATTAACCCATACATGTATGAACATCTGATTTTTGAAAAAGAAACTAAAATGTACAATTGGAAAAAAGAAAGCATCTTCAACAAATAGTGCTGGCATAACTGGATGCTGGCATGTACAAGAATGCAGATAGATCCATGTCTATCGTCATGCACAAAACTTAAATCCAAATGGATCAAAGACCTCAACATAAATCCAGGCATACTGAACCTGTTGAAGAGAAAGTGGGAGGCACCCTTGAACAAATTGGTATAGGAGACCGCTTCCAGAATGTAACTCCAGTAGCACAGACACTAAAATCAAAAATTAATAAATGGGACCTCCTGAAACTGAGAAGCTTCTGCAAGGCAAAGGACACAGTCAGCAAGACAAAAAGGCAACCTACAGATTGGGTAAAGACACTCACTAACCCCCCATCTGACAGAGGGCTGATCTCCAAAATTTACCAAGAACTCAAGAAGCAAGTCTCCAAAACACCAAAGGAGCCAATCAAAAAATGGGGTACAGAACTAAATAGAGAATTCTCAGTAGAGGAGACTAAAATGGCTGAGAAACACTTGAGAAAGTGCTCAACATCCCTAGCCATCCGGGAAATGCAAATCAAAACAACTCTGGGATATCATCTCACTCCTGTCAGAATGGCTAAAATAAAAACTCCAATGACAGTTTATGCTGGAGACGATGTGGAGAAAGGGGGAACATTCCTACACTGCTGGTGGGAGTGCTGACTTGTACATCCACTTTGGAAATCAGGAAAATGGGAATCTACCACAGGACCCAGGAATTCCACTCTTAGGCATATACCCAAAAGATACACATTCATACAACAAGGATGTCTGTTCCACTATGTTCATAGCAGCATTATTTGTAATACCGAGAACATGGAAGCAACCTAGATGCCCCTCAACTGAAAAGTGGATAGAGAAAATGTGGTACATTTACACAATGGAGTACTATTCAGTGGGAAAAAAACAATGGAATCCTGAAATTTGCAGGCAAATGGATGGCACTAGAAGAAACCATCCTGAATGGTATGTACTCACTCACATATGGATCTTAGACATGAATCAGGGGGAGTGCCAGCCTACAATCCCACCATCAGATAGTTTAGGAAACTATACCTTCATCCAGCAACTGACGAAAGCAGAGGCAGATACCCACAAACAAACACTGAACTGAACTCCTGGAATCCAGTGTCAGAAAGAGAGAACTGATGGGCAAAGGAGTTAAGACTAGGCTGGTTTAACCCACAGAAACAGTTGACCTGAACAAGGGGGAATCTCTTGGACTCCAGATTGATGGCTGTGTGGAAAGCATAGGACTGACCCAGACTCCCTGAATGTGGGTGTCAGCGAGGAGGACTAGGTAATCTATGGGGTCTTGGGTAGTTTTTATCCTTGGCGTACAAATAGACTTTGAGTGCTCATGCCACAATATGGGAGGCTCTCTCAGCCAGGACTCTTGGGGGGGAGGGCCTAGGCCCTGCTCTGGACAGTTACTGGAGATGCACCATGGAGGGCCTCACCCTCCCTGGGGATGGAAGTGGAGATTGGGTGGGGGACTGGGGGACCTGGTGGGGAGGGCGGGGGCGGAAGGGAGGGAGAGGGAGCTGGGATTGACATGGGAAACAAGATTGTTTCTAACCTAAATTAAAAATATATATGTAGACATTTCAAAAAAAATGAAGAAGAAGCCCAAACCACTGGCCAACAGTTTCATAATTAACACAGTGTCTGTGTGTTCCTTTGTGTCAAGGCAGCTGCAGAACGGGAAAGGAAGTCCTGTAACAGAAAAAGATGCAAAAGAGGCCACTGTATTCGGCCAGGCTACTTTAGAAAGCTGGACTTTGTGTTGAAAGTCGCTGACACATATTTGCCCATTCCTTCAAGTGACTTCATTATGTCACAGGAAATAGGGAACTGTTTGAGGAAACTTACCTCAAAAACAATGATAAAAGCCAGCCGGGCTGCTAGGACATGCCAGAACTGCAATGTGTAGCCATAGGGTGCCAGTGAATGAGGAGGGTCCCGGTAGTCCCGGTATCTATAAACACAGGAGAGGGTAGCATTTCAACTCTGATTCTTCAGGTCCTCCATTCTCTTCCATTGCCACTATGTAGTCTTTATACATGGAAACAAAATTTGAAAACAAACAAAACCTTTCTCTATGTCAGATATCTGTTGCTTTGTTGGTCCAGCATTTCTTCTTTTGGTAAAAGACTATCTCTTCTAGATAGGCAGTGGTGGCGCATGCCTTTAGTCCCACCACTTGGGAGGCAGAGGCAGGCAGATTTCTACAAGTTCGAGGCCAGCCTGTTCTTCAGAGCAAATTTCAGGACTGCCAGGACTATACAGAGAAAGCCTGTCTTGAACACTCCTTCCCCCACCCCTGACCAAAAAAAAAAAAAAAGAGCATCTCGTCTCTGGGTAATTACCCGTGGGTGTTGGGTAGGACTTACCTCTCCTACAACCTCAACTCTAAAGACTCCCTACTCATCAACAGGATGTCCATTAGAACTATTATTAAATGAATTATCACTAAGGCCTAAGTCCACAGAACTGCTAGGAGCTACCACAAATTATATGTGTGGCAGGGAGGGAAGGAGAGAGGGGGGGAAGGGAGAGAACATGCAGAGAATGAAAATAGAACAAAGTGGAACATCAGAGACAATATTCTGCTGACTGTGCCCAACTCTTAGCACTTAGTTATTATTGAAATAAAGTCTGCATGGCTTCTTGATGCTCCCTAAAAAATATATTTCTGTCTGTTCATGTCAATTTACATGGGATTTATGCTGCTTGCTAATTAGCAAGTCCTTCCTACTACATCCTCAGTCTCTACCATTCGAGTTGACATTGAACTGCACATGTGTTTGTTGGACAGCTGTGTGGCATCAGGCATCATCCTGGGAACTTTAACCTACGCAAGTACATTTCATTGTTACCATCACCATCACCACTGTCACTATTGAAAAGTGACTCCAACACCATAAAGTTTTCATGCATTTTGAACTCAGTTTTCTTTTTGTCACAGAACATTAGAATGATCTAGATGTAGTGGTTGTTTTAACACTTCTGCTGTGTAGATGCACAGAATTACCTTGTCTGAACAAGACACAAGTTTTTGATGTTTTTGTAAAAGATGGAGTCTAACCTCTCACCTCGGGATCAGTACTGATTTATAGATAATCCAGAATAGGTTGTTATAAAGGCTATGCTTGAAACAGTATTAGTATTAGTGGTCAAGATTATCACCATCACAATCATCATATTGATTATTATTAGTGTCTTTGGGTGCGTAGTGATGATATACCATGGAGTTTTTAATCCTACAGTGATACTGATAATGAAGAATTTGTACTGAAATTGAGTGAATGCCTGATGCTTCTAAATTGCTGGTTCTCTCTGTGGCAATAGGGATTAGGCAGAGCACGGAAATTTTCACAGTCTGATATAGAGTTATTCATCTGATCTTAGCATAGGTCCAATAATTATGCATTGAATTCCAGGAAGAACTTTGTTCAGGACTAAACTTTGAACAGGTTACCCTAAATTCCATTTATTTTTCCTAGCTACCCTATAATCAGGGACCATGTTATTCCTCTGCTCATTTTCAGGCACTAGTGTTTCAAAATACTGCAGGTAGATATCTAGAAGCAAAATACAAATACATTTTATTATACTTATGCCTACCAGATAAAACTATATTTGTAAAAGGCTAGACTTAAAATTCTTTGTAGTATCATCATCTTAAACGTTTTTCACAACAATATATATATATGCTTATACATTTGTATTTGTGAGAATATACTATTTATTTCTTTTGAGCTTGGTATAAAGATATTATACATTTAAAAAAGATTTATTTTTAATTTTAATAACAGAGAGAAAGAGAGAGAGAGAGAAAATGAATATACGTATGTAGTGCAGAAGCCAATAGTCCATAAGAAGGCTTCAGATTCACTAAAGATGGATTACAGGTGGTTGTGAGCCACACAATGTAGGTGCTAAGAACTAAACTCAGGTTCTCTTCAAGAATAGTATATATTTTCCCACTGAGTCATCTCTCCAACCATCAAAGTATATTATATCTTATACAGACTTCTGACATTTGCTTTTTTATTGTAACTTGTTTATTTTCACTACTGTACAATAGGCAATATTATAGTGTGACTATATTATAGTTGTTTATGCAGTATATACTTAGAATTACTAATAGACTTGTAACTTCTCTGTTTTCTCTCAACTTTCCTACCCATGGGAAGCCTTTAAAACAAAGTTTAATTCTACACAGTTCAACAAATTTTCTTTGTGTAAAAGTTGGTTGTAATACTCTTGTGTAATCTCGGCTCTTTATCCACTTAGTTTTGGTTTTATAAAACCATTTTCCGGGCCACTGATCCACTTGAGAAGGTGTTTTAAAAATTTAACATTATATTCTGATGTTTTCTGATTATATTTAACATTATATTCTGATGCCCCTGAGAGCCAATTCAGGGGCATCACCTAATACATGACTGAAAAAAGAATTAATGCTCTGCCTTTTCCATGATGGATGTATGTTTGAATTTTACAGATATATGTATGCATTTCCCTTGCAATTTAAAGCTTTGAAGAAATATGAAAATATTATTTCAGAAAAATTTAAAAACATTAAAGAAAATGATCACAATTTAAATGAAGATAGTCCCATTTATGTTAGTAGTTGTGAAAGGTAATTTATTTTATTATGTAGGACAGCTAGACTTATAAAACAGGAAGCAAAAGATGAACAGTGTTTTGTACTTTATCTTATTTTTAAGTAACAAAATGGTTTTAAAAGTAAACCTTTTATCTATTTTTTGAGCTAGACTGGCCTCTAACTCACTATGTAACCAAGGATGACTTTGAACTTCTAATCTCCTGCCTCTACCTTCTGAGTTCTGGGATTCCAAGTGTGTCATCATACCTAATTTTTGTGCTGCTGGGGACTGAAGTCTTTGCTTTTGTGTAAGGCAAGCACTTCAACAACTGTTCTATATCCCAAGTCTACTAAATGGTTTTTAATTAAAATGATACCTATTATATCATTTCCCTATTTTCTTCTTAGACTGCTATATACATATAACACCTCATGCTAAATGACTTTGTGCATGACACAGGGGAGACTCTAGGAAAACACCAACTACTGTTGCTTGCTTGCATTCTCCCTCATCAGACTCCAGCAAGATCCAATGCAGGACTAAGTCCCATATATTATGTCTTCCAATGACCTCTCCACCAGTAGAGGAGGTGGAAACAAAATGCATGATAAAACCTGAGAGTTGATGGGACTTTGGTTAATTAATTTGGGGCTTAGAGGGGAATAGTATGTGGTTGCTGCCTAGCAGCAGGGCCCATCTGGCTTCTCACATGATCTTTTATCTTCTTGGGGATGAGCAAGCACAGGTCCCTGGCTTTTATGTTTGTTGTCTACATGGTAAGGATAGTGTGACTTGGCCTCACAGGCCAAATGAGTTTCTGTAGCATCTGGTCTAGTAATTTATTCTAGGACTAAGCAAATGAATTGAGATGTTCGGTACTAACATCTAGTTTTTATGACTTTCTTCATTTCTCTGAAGAAAGAAGAGTACAAAACAATAAAAGTTGAAGGAAAGACAATGGGAAGTGTATTATTTTATAGCGTGTCATTAAAAGATGATATAAAAGAAAGATTATCAGATTGTGGCTCACAGAAAGCTGAAAATTCCTGTTCATGAATGCTGTTTATTAATGCCAGAGGGAACTATGCTGAGCCTATTAGACTCTACCCGAAGTGTCCTTTCGAGTGTGACACATGGGAGTGCCACAGCCATGTACTTATGGCACCTTTGCTATGAGGCTTCTTAGAAGAATGCTACCATGGAAGTCAGGAGTCCTGTCATCTGCCAGATAGGATAATACTGCCTACCATGGAAGGTTAGTATTATTATCAAACAAAGTAATAATTCTCAACACAAAGTAGGTCCTCAATAAATTCTTCATATATTATTGTACAAATACTTGGAGGCATCATTTAATTTCCTTTTAAAGACCACGAACATGTGCTGCAGAGGAACAAGCTACAATCAGTTAGTACTCTGTTCATTTATCAATTGGGATTCTGGAAGCACAATGGTATACAGTGTGGGCAAGCGATAAAGAAAGGTAGAGCAAGGTCGAGCACCCTTGTAAAAGGAGTTCTTAAATGGTCTAGATAATAGAAGGCCGGAGTCAAGTATAGAGGGAAATGCTGAGAGATTAGAGAGAAGGAGCAAGACACAGCACACCTTACTGCTAAGTGTCTCCACAGAGAAGAGAGCAGTTTCCTGTTTGTCCCTGCTTATATCCTGATTCTGCCCAGCTACATCACTTCCTGTCTGTCTGTACAGACCTCCAGATGTCTATGGGTAGCTAGTGGCAACTTTCTGCCCAACCACGTCACTTCCTGTCTGGCCAATCAGCCAATCAGTGTTTTATTCATTAACCAATAAGAAAAACATGTATATAGAAGAATATTTCCCATCATACCCTCGATGACTGTCAGTCAAACCACCTGGGGATTTCCCCCAAGCCCTTAGTCGTTTTGGATCACAGTCTGAACAGGAGAAGGATTTAAAATTCTCCAGCTGAATCCATTTAAACACTATTTTAGGAAACTCTACAATAGTAGGTTTCCATATACATATTTGAAAGGTCTTCATTGCTAGTTAATGTGGCAATAATATTCCCACTAAACACCAGGAGCTAACAAATAAAAAGTTCAAATGAGTTATCCTTTTGGAGTTGTTAGCCAGCAAGTTCCCATAGATTCTCAAACATTACTGTTACTGTCAGTGCTCTTGGTTGCCCTCCAGAACTGGACAGTAAGGCCCTATTGCATAAGACACCAAATACTTGAGTCACAGAACATGAATAAATCAAGCTGGCACTGACCTTATCCCCAAAGTGCTGAGAGGTGCTACACACACTACTGGATAAGCTAATTATCACCCACCTGTGAACTCTCCGTGCTATAATAGTATCTGGCCTCTCAGAATGGCCTACTGGTGCAATAGTGGTGTAAATGTTATGGGAGTCACTGACCCCTTTCTGATTGGAATTAAGGCTGGTTACACAAGTTGAAATCTGTGCCTATTATATGGCCAAGAACCTATGGCTAGATAGGGGAAAACCTTTTATTATTTTTCTGCTAAATGGGAATACTATTAAATAGGCACCTAATAATTTATCATTATATCTATAGATTAGTGCATTTCTCAGCCCTGATAAAAGAAGTTTCTTTTTGTAGTGACTAACACAGAGACCCACAATTTGTCATGATTCAGAGAGTAAGATGCTAAATGGTCAGTTATATTATACACTTAAATGGGTCAGTTATTTTACACACTCTCCTCCCAAAGCTCAAGGGTCATTGTGGACCAGGGTGTGAGAGTCAGAGGAGGTACACGACTATAAGGAAATGTGTTTTCTGGACATAGCAAGACACATACACATGTGAATTCACAGTGTTTGTGACACATCTTAGATAGCTCAAGCCAGACAAAATACCAATATGGTTAGGGAAAGTAGACACCAAGTCCAACCCTTAAGTGAGAAGCTATTGGCAACTGATAGCTGCTGGAAGGATAGTTGGTTTTCTTTAAGGGTGTGGCCCCTGATAGGTGGACCATGCTCCAGTGGAAGACCACATATCCAAGAGTATATGGGCAGCACACAGTGAACTTAATGAGCTAAAAAGAAAAAGAGGATGCAAAATTGAGTAGGACAGGAAAGGGAGGTAAATTTGTGGAGGGAGTGAATATAACCAAATTATACTGGGTAAAATTCTCAAAGAACTAGTAAAAATGAAAAAAAATCAGCAGGTGATATTTAATTCCCCAAGAATTGAAAAACACTGCTTTACTTTTATTATTTATTTTTTATTAAAAATTAAGCAAGGCAGTAATAGTGTACACCTTTAATCCCAGCAATCAGGAGGCAGAGGGAGACAGATATCCGAGTTCAAGGCCAGCCTGGGCTACACAGAGAAACCTTGCTTGAAAAACTAAAAGCAAAACAAAAAATTAAGCAAATGGAATGATTTATATTGCTGTTGTGACATGTTTTCTTACAGTCTATTTTGATTGTGAGAACTAGTGTTTTAAATAAACTCAGCCAAAAGGGTGTCAGCAAAATCTTTCCATGCTAGAGCCAGTTCAACGTAGCCAGAAAGGACACTGAGGTTCACACTCAGCTGCAGAGGCTCACACTCATCTGCACAGGTTCACACTCACTGAACTTCAAAGGTTCACACTCACCTGCAGAGATTTACACTCACTCAGCTGCAAAGGTTCACACTCACTCATCTGCACAGGTTCATACTCACTGAACTTCAAAGGTTCACACTCACCTGCAGAGACTTACACTCACTCAGCTGCTAAGGTTCACACTCACCTGCAGAGACTTACACTCACTCAGCTGCTAAGGTTCACACTCACTTACAGAGGTTCACACTCACCTGCAGAGGTTCACACTCACTCAGCTTCTAAGGTTCACACTCACCTGCAGAGACTTACACTCACTCAGCTGCTAAGGTTCACACTCACCTGCAGAGGTTCACACTCATCTGCACAGGTTCACACTCACTCAGCTGCAGAGGCTCACACTCATCTGCACAGGTTCACATTCACTGAGCTTCAAAGGTTCACACTCACCTGCAGAGACTTACACTCACTCAGCTGCTAAGGTTCACACTCAGCTGTAGAGGTTCACACTCACTCAGCTGCTAAGGTTCACACCCAGCTGCACAGGTTCACACTCATCTGCACAGGTTCACACTCATCTGTACAGGTTCACACTCATCTGCACAGGTTCACACTCATCTGCACAGGTTCACACTCACTCAGCTGCAGAGGCTCACACTCATCTGCACAGGTTCACACTCACTGAGCTTCAAAGGTTCACACTCACCTGCAGAGACTTACACTCACTCAGCTGCTAAGGTTCACACTCAGCTGTAGAGGTTCACACTCACTCAGCTGCTAAGGTTCACACCCAGCTGCACAGGTTCACACTCATCTGCACAGGTTCACACTCATCTGTACAGGTTCACACTCATCTGCACAGATTCACACTCATCTGCACAGGTTCACACTCACTCAGCTGCAGAGGCTCACACTCATCTGCACAGGTTCACACTCATCTGCACAGGTTCACACTCATCTGCACAGGTTCACACTCATCTGCACAGGTTCACACTCATCTGCACAGGTTCACACTCATCTGCACAGGTTCACACTCATCTGCATAGGTTCACACCCAGCTGCACAGGTTCACACTCAGCTGCACAGGTTCACACTCATCTGCACAGGTTCACACTCATCTGCACAGGTTCACACTCATCTGCACAGGTTCACACTCATCCACCTGAAGAGGTTCACAGTCACTCACCTGCACAGGTTCACACTCACCTGCAGTACTTCAGAGGAGTTCCTGAGAACTCACTGCCATCAGATTCTGGCTCAGATCGGTTCTCAAAGTCAGAAATTCGGAACACAGACAAGCTGGCATTCACATAGCCAACCATGCACCTGAATAAAAATGCAGATGTAATCATTACAACAGTGGCTGTTCCTTTACCCCTAACTCATTAAGCCCTCTTATTCCATTTACATATCCCTTTATAGTCATGCTTATGCCATGACTGCATCACAGGCACTCATGCCTCTGCTTGGTTTCCTTTTTCTTTGGAACCCCTACTTCTTTGTCTGGAAGAGTAAATATTGCTTATCCTTTAATGGTCAACCAAAACAACACCTATTCTGCGAAGGTGTCTTTTCCTGCAGGCAGCATGACTTGACTCCCCACTTGAATTGGAGGATTGTGGGAGTAGAGTGGATGTCTTAAGTGCTATTTTACTTATTAATTTTAAATAAATAAATTGGAGGAAAATTATGTCAGAGATTCTACTGATCCTTCTGAACCAAATGAGTAGATGGGATCAGTAAAGCTAACAATCACTCTGTCAGCTTTCTTCCTTCTTATTTTTGTCAGAGCACAAACTAAGGGATTTCATTACAACATTTTGATATAATTGTATGTTGTTCATATTTACCCTATATAATTCTTTAAAAATATTTTATTTTTCATGAGAGAGAGAGAGAAAGAGAGAGAGAGAGAGAGAGAGAGAGAGAGAGAGAGAGAGAGAGAGAGAGAGAGAGAGAATATGACATGCATGTGTGGGCACACAAGTTGCCATGGTGCATCTTAGGAAGTCAGGGGACAACTTCCATATTTACATGAATTTGGGGGATTGAACACAGGTTGTAACAAACTTTTAACTGCTGAGTACATCTTATGTACTTCTTTAAGTGGAAAGTAAAATGTCTACCACATAGACTCATTTAGAGATTAAATGACACTATGTAGGTAAAGCATATAATATTGTTTTTAGCCAATAACAAGACAAATATGAGTAATGGTTATTCATTTTATGTACACCATGCATTTTGCATGTCAGTACATAGTATGGAAATGAATAAGTCATGGTCTTCAGAGTCTCTTCATTATCAATATCTGACGTGATTATCTGAAACTGCTGAATCTTAAGCCAAATTGATGACACAAGCAATTCCCACAGCACATGGCTTTTTCATGTCCAGGACAAAGCACTGCCCTTTTGCTTTACAAAAATGAACTGAGCTTAAAGAACTACTTGTCTAGACACTTGAGGGTTAAGCAAATGGTCAGTAGGTGTGCAACATTCTTCAGTCCTTGCCTACTTCTCCTTGGAACGATGGTCTGGAGGATGAATGAATGACTGTTTAGAACATGACATGAAGACATACTAGATTCCAGCCCAGACTGCTATACCCAGTAAAACTCTCAATCACTATAGATGGAGAAAACAAAATATTCCATGATAAAAACAGATTTACACAGTATGTATCCACAAATCCAGCCCTACAGAAAGTTCTGGAAGGACAACTCCAACCCAAGGAAGTTAACTACATTCACAGAAACATAGGCAATAGATAATCTCACTTTTCCAAAAGCCAGATATAGGGGAAAAACTCACATACAATACCACCAAATGAAAACGAATAAAAAAAACCAAGAATCAACAACCAATGGTCATTAATATCCTTCAATATCAATGGTCTTAACTCACCTATAAAAAGACACAGGCTAACAGAATGGATACGAAGACAGAATCCATCCATCTGCTGCATACAAGAAACACACCTCACCTTCAAAGACAGATGTTACCTCAGAATTAAATGTTGGGAAAATTTTTCTAATCATATGGACCTAAGAGACAAGCAGGTGTAATTATCCTAATAGCTAGCAAATTATACTTCAAATTAAAATTAATCAAGAGACGAAGAATCTCATTTCATATTCATCACAGGAAAAATCTATCAGGACGAAGTCTCATTTCTGAACATCTATGCTACAATTACAAAGGCACCCACGTTTGTAAAAAAATTACTAAAACTGAAATCACTCATAAAACCTCACACAGTTACAGTGGGAGACTTCAACACCCCACTCTCATCACTAGACAGGATCATCAGACAGAAACTTAAAAAAGAAACAAAGAAACAAACAGAAGTTATGACCCAATTGGGTTTAACAGACATCTATAGAACATTCCATCCAAACACAAAAGAATATATGTTTTACTCAGTGCCACATGAAACCTTCTCTAAAATCAACCACATACTTGTCAATAAAGCAAACCTCAACAGACACAAAAAATTGGAATAACTCCCTGTATCTTATTGGACCACCATGGCTTAAAATTAGTATTCAACAACAACACAAATTGCAGAAATCCCACAAACTCATGGAAATTGAATGATACTCAATTGCGTCACTCCTGGGTAAATGAAGAAATAAAGAAAGAAGTCAAAGACTTCCTAGAACTCAATGAAATGAAAGCACAACATACCCAAACCTATGGGAAACTCTGAAAGCAGTTCTGCAGTTCTCAGAGGAAAGTTAATAGCACTAAGTGAAGAAACTGGAGAATAGCCATACTAGAGAATTAACAGAACGCCTGAAAGTTCTAGAACAAAATGAAGCAAACTCACCCAGGAGAAGTAGATAGACACCAGGAAATAATCAAATTGAGAGCTGAAATCAATAAAATAGAAACAAAGAAAAAATAAAAAGAATCAATGAAACAAAGAGTTTGGTCTTTGAGAAAATCAACAGGATAGACAAACTTTTATCCAACCTAACCAAAGAGAGAGAGAACATGGAAATTAACAAAATAAAAAATGAAAAGGGGGACATAACAACAGACACTGGAGAAATCCAGAGAATCATCAGGTCATACTTTGAAAACCTGTACTCAACAAAATTGGAAAATTTAAAAGAAATCGACGATTTTCTGGATAGATATCACCTATCAAAATTAAATCATGAACAGATAAGCAACTTAAATAGACCTATAACCCCTAACAAAATAGAAGCAGTCATCAAAATTCTGTCTTCCAACCAAAACAAGTCCAGGACCAGATGGTTACAGTGAAGAATTCTACCAGAAATCCAAAGAGGAGCTAATACCAATATTCTTCAAATTGTTCCACACAGTAGAAGCAGAAGGATCATTGCCAAACTCTTTTTACGAGGCTACAATTACCTTGGTACCCAAACCACACAGAGACACACTAAGATAGAGAACTACAGACCAATCTCCCTCATGAACATTGATGCAAAAATACTCAACAAAATTCTAGCAAATCGAATCCAAGAACACATCAGAAAAAAATCATACATCATGATCAAGTAGGTTTCATCCCAGGGATGCAGGGATGGTTCAACACATAAAAATCCATCAATGTAATCTATCATATAAACAATCTGAAAAAGAAAAAAAAACCTTTGACAAAATTCAACACCCCTTCATGATAAAGGCCTTGGAGATATCAGGGATAACAGGAACATACCTATACAAAATTCTCAGGTAAATGGATAGCACTGGAAGAAACCATCCTGAGTGAGGTAACCCAGTCACAAAAAGACAAACATGGTATGTACTCACTCATATATGGATTTTAGACATGGATCAGGATAGTGCCAATCTGCACTTCCACTGAAAGAAAGTCTGGAAAACAGGAAAGAACCTAAAATATATGCATGGTATCCAAGAGAAGAGGAATGAGGCAAGATCCTCTGAACAGATGGGAAACATGGCAAGGGGTGGGGGGGAGTGGGAGGTGGGAAGAAGAGAGGGGGAGAAGAGGAAGAGTGAGTAGGTCATGGGGGAACTGGAAGGTTGAGTGGGGGAGAAGAATAGGGGGAAGAGGGAATCATAGGTTAGAAGACAGATCAGGCAGCATTGTGACCTCTAGTGATCTAAAGGGATGACACCAATTGGCAAGCTAAGCAATAGTGAATAGACCACCTCGAATGCCCATTCCTGATAATGAACTTGATGTCCATAACACCATCCTGGAGCCTTCATCCAGTGACTGATGGAAGCAGAGGCAAACACCCACAGTTAAACACTGAACTGAACCCAAGGAACCCAGTGACAGAGAGAGAGAGAGAGAGAGAGAGAGAGAGAGAGAGAGAGAGAGAGAGAGAGAGAGAGAAGAGAGAGAGGATCTATGAGCAAATTGGCAAAGAATGGGCTGGCAAAACCAGCAGAGACAGCTGATCTGAACAGGGGAGAGCTCTTGGACCCCAGCCCAACAGCTGGGAGGCCAGCATGGGACTGATCCAGACTCCCCGAATGTGAGAGTCAGTGAGGAGGCCTGGGCCATCTATGGGTCCCTGAGCAGTGGATCAGTGTTTATCCCTGGAATACAAACAGACATCGTGTGTCCATAACTCAAAGAGGGTTGCTCTCTCAGCCTGGACTCTTAGAGGAGTGCCTGGACCCTACCCTGAGTGAAATGACAGACTCTAGATATCCCCTATGTGGAAGGAATTGGCAATAGAGTGGAAGGATGGGGGGGAAATGGGGGAATGCAGGAGGAGGGGAGGGAGAGGGAACTGGGATTGATATTTAAAAAAATAAAGAAAAATAAAGGCAATATAAAGCAAACCAACAGCCAACATAAAACTAAATGGAGAGAAACTCAAGGTGATTCCTCTAAAAGCAGGAACAAGATAAGGTTGTTCACTTTCTCCATATCTCTTCAATACTGTATTAGCAATAAGACAACGAAAGGAGATCAAGGGGATACAAATTGTAAAGGAAGAAGTAAAACTTCTTAAAGTGACCCAAAGAATTCTACCAGGGAACTCCTACAGCTGACAAACACCTTCAGCAAAGTGGCAGGATACAAGAGAACCTAAAAAAAACTAACCCTATAAATGTATGGAGAAGGAAATCAGAGAAATATCATTCTTTACAATAGGCACAAACAACATAAATATCTTGGGGTAACTCTAACCAAACAAGTGAAAGACCTGTATGACAAGAACTTTGAGTCATTTAAAAAAGTAATTAAAGAAGGTACCAGAAAATGGAAAGATCTCCCATGCTATTGGATAGGTAGGATCAACATAGTAAAAATAGCAGTCTTACCAAAAGCAATCTGCAGATTCAATGCAATCCCTATAAAAATTCCAG